CACGCCAAATTCACAAAAATGAGATAAACCTACTTTCACAATTGATAAACTAGGTTTATCGACTGTAAACTATAGTTTACAAATAGTTAACTATAGTTAACGATTCGTTAAGTATAGTTTTCATCTGTAAAACTATATTTAACGGTTGTTAACTATAGTTTACGAATGATAATCTAAGTTTATCTGTCTGTAATAAGCGTTAACAGTAGATTTTGTTGATAAACATAGATTCACGTTTGTAAACTGTAGTTTACAATCGTAAACTATAGTTAAGAGTTGTTAATCATAGTTTCACAAATCGTGAAACTATATTTATCAGATCGTTAACTATAGTTAACGGTTTGTAAACTATAGTTTACAAATCGTGAAACTGTATTTATCAGATAATCTATGTTTTGCAATCGCAAATGATTGTTTTCGGTATTAAGTATAGTTTACGGTTGTGAAACATAGATTATCGCGTTTACAGATGTAAAATATAGATTAACGTTGTTAACTATAGTTTACAATCCGTAAACTATAGTTTACAACCGATAAACCTAGTTTATCGGTTGTGAAACTATGATTAGCTCATTTTTGTGAATTTGGCGTGCCATAGATTTCCCATGAATGACTATGCTAACGTCTCTGTGTGTGTTTAAAATGTCCCATCAAGATGCTGTGGACTGAAGAGATTGCCCACACTATCGATGTTGTCATTGCACATCGTGGATACAATATGAATATCGAAAGGCCAGGCCTGGTTTTCTAACCCAATATCTCGTTGTGTACGGAAAGGTGTACTCAGTGATGGGCTATCTGTATGATGGTCTCTTCTATATAATTCTTACTTTCATTGATAAAATAGAATGATCATGTAAACTAAATTGGTTCAATCTATAGGAGCCGCTGTTCCATATTGTTAAATTGACATACATGCAGTTTAATAGTGCATTGTACACATTTTGGGGAAAAAAGACCATATGCTCTAATATTATTTTATTAAGTGAACCCTTGGATAAGCCCACAAAGATTACCCTCTATTCTGTAGACAACATTAGAAGATTTTTCCAGGTTTTGGTATAGAAACACTGTCCAGTAAGATTACTAGTAAAAGCAGAGTTAGTAATTAAAACATCACAGGTTTTGCCGTTTTTCACAAAACAATTTGAAATAGAAAACAGGGGGTCGGAGAATTAATGTTTTGTTTTCAGAATTCTTTATAATTCCAAGCATCGATCAGAGGAATATCATCTTCAATTTTGTTAAACAAATGTATCTAAACTGGTTTTGGAAATAGTTTCATCTTTTGAACATCGATGTTTTCCCCTGATTTTTGTATGGTGGGAAATAAAAGATTTTTGATGGGGATACGATTTTAACTGAATGCTGTTAATTAAATTAAACAAGTCTAAGGGTATGAGTAGAACTTCTATTTATTTTGTCTTATAAAAATATTGACATAAAATCTTCGAGAATAAAGATTTACTGCAGAAATCCTGTCAGAGTATTTATATTCACCCTTTCAATTCTCATAAAACGATGCATTAAAACAGATTCCAGAGTCGTTATATTTGGAAATGGATTTGAGTCAACATTAAGGGCGCGCTTTCCGACACACAGCCAATATAACGGTCCAGGGTATATTTGAGGTGTTCCCATGCAGACACACTCCGTCAGTTTTATGACGTTCTGTACTGGATACGAAATCTACGAAAGCAATCTTCCACAATCAATCATCTCCTTTAATGATTTAATTTAATCAAAGAGTTAATGCTTGTTACAATAGAGAGAGTCTTGGACAATTGAGAGCCCTCGTTTACACAAGAGTAGTCGATTGAGTGGTGTTAAAGTAACCTAGAGATTCGGTATACTGTAATAAAAGAACAAACCCAAGAGTTTAATGACTTACATTCAGTTAGAAACATGAATTCCCTACACCTAGCAATAATAGAACTTAGTATAATCATGTGTGAGTAAAACTTATACCCTGCGATCAAACACCCCTAATGTAATACTTTGTTTACAATTTGGATTTAGAATGCCCTGATACTTATTGGAATAACTCTTCGATGACTGTAAAGTTTTAGAAGTTTTTGTGAACCATGTATGGGAGATATATTAACTCTTTTAGAGTACAGGTAAGCAAAATATACTGTAAAGTGTTAGGATGCACTCATCTTTATTCTTATTTGGTATATATAATTTCTTTTTTGAAAAGTAATTATTTATATTCCCAATGACGCGATCTCAGCATTTAAAACATAAATATCTTCTAGTAATTGTGGACCTTTATATTGCCGTTAATCACCCGGTTCTTGACATCATACATGAATGGTGTCTATAAACAGCAATGAAAATACACATTCTTTAAATGGATTTTGTAATTTTGATATCGGCATATAATCGATCCATGATTTGTGTTCCACGGACGGATTTGTGTGTTGCTTACGTCTACGGATCGGTCACAAAGCACTGAATTAACACTGAATGTGTTAAAGTTTATATAGCCCATGCAGTACATGTATTTGGGGCAGTATAATAATTTTATACATGTATAAATTTGATAAATTATATCACCTATTCTATTAGCTGCAGAACTGTATCGTTATGGTTTTACATGTTAGTCTTTGACCATGGTTAAAGACTACATAATATACATGTATAAAACCTAACTAAACGTGTGAGTTCTGTAGCTACTATATTCGACCAGATAATATCATCTAATTGTATTGATGACCATCTGGTACATGTATTTGAGTTAACAGGTTTATAACTTTTTCGAATAGGCGATATCACCATTTCAAATCAAACGGGTGTTATTCATATAAATAAAGATAATAATGCTTGTTTTCAATTATTGGATGAGAGAGAGAGAGAGAGAGAGATAGAGAGAGAGAGAGAGAGAGACTATAATCTAATGAACTGGCAAACCAAACCAAGTCCAATCATGAAAAGAAATTGAAGTCATTTACTGATACCTGTATTTTACCTTTTAATGATTTCACTCAAAGAATTAGATATTTTTTTTAACGGAATATGATTTAAGCAGCATAATGTCCTTTTCCAAGAATAAAAGAAAAATTCAAATACATATTTTTGTGAATAAATGTATGTACATCGAAAGTCGCGTCCAGTCGGTCTAGCACCATTTTGCGTTTATCTGCACACCATATTTCTTTTTGGGTTGAACAATTACGTTTAATTGTCCCTCATTTTCAATGGTTGATTTATTTATGAAGAAGGAAATTAAAGAAGCATCGTTTTTTAAATACCCTCTCCTGCCTCATATATCTTAATTTGAGTGTACGCAAATAATGAAGCCTGCAAAAAAATCAACTTTTATACTATAAAAGAGGCGAAGTTCTGATCTTTACTCCGTATTATATGAATAGTGGTAAATAAGTATATTTTAGGTACAGCAGCTAGTAAGCAAAAACAAAGTTAAAGTCCCTTCACATAGAAATATAGTCATTGTAATATCAGCTTCATCTAAATCGTGTTCGCCTGGATAGTTATTGACCACACAGCGCTATCTTTCGATTAGTCTTGGTTTACTTTCCCCCAAAAGTTCCAGTTTTATTGTGTGCGATTGGTCTTCGGGAAATGAACTTGGAAAGGCCGCGACGATTCTCAATAATGGTCAAAATATCACAAAGATGGATCAACTCCAGGGGGCGGGAAATGCAATGCTTATTGCATTCATCTTGATATGACTGAATGTTTTACCTATCAATCCATTTGTCAATAAATGATGAGTAAGAAAGGGATGCAATTTTTAAAAATGTACTTTTTCAAGTATAGTTTTATAATAGCATATCATGTAATATTCTAAAGTGAAATATCTTGGCTTCCTATATACACTCCAGACATAGCCGGGTTGACGCAATAACTTCTGTTCTCGGACAGATCGAATACTTGACGTGTTTGAAGAAGACCCGTGTAGTAATACCTTCTATCAACGTTCCCTAGACATTCAATCTTTATTATGGGCTGCACACTTCAGTGAATTGATATGCTTATTCAGTGAATTGTGACCAATCTAAACACTAACTTGTTAAACGACATGGGGGCGTACGAACGTAAATTCTCAGGCCAGTTTCTGGGGATGAGCGTGTAGCACTGGATAATCCTCGCACCATGGTAAGCTACAACCATCTATCATACCATTTCATACCAAATTATTTATAAAGATTGCCTTTATTGCTTTAATGAAAGAAAAGATTGATCAGCTGTGAAATTTACATTGCACGATAGAAATCTAGCAGAGAACTTTAATGCTTTGAGTGATAAATCAAGCGTTTTCCCTCATTAAATGCTGGGTTTCATTTTCTAATTGAGCGATAACGAATAAATAACTTAAGAAAATAACTTTTTTGTAGATAAAATCAAGAAGTGTAAAAACTTTCAAAAAAATGAATTTTCAACTAAACGATAGGAATAAAAAAAACTATACGTTAATTACTACTTACAAAACAGAAAACATGTGTGTGTTACATATATAAATAAACAGATATTGATTTGGATTTCAAATACAGACATTTTACTCCTATTTTTCTGGGCTGACAACAGGAAGCCAAAGTAGGAATATCCTCTCTGGACATATATATATATAGTCTCGAATTAGGTCGAGTGGATCAGTGGTGCATAAAATAGCGTGTACTTCCCTCATCCTGAACATCATTTCCTCTTTATACTGGTCATAGGGTCCGATTAATTTAGATCAAATGCATTACTTGCTTAATTTCAATGAATAGAGAATTTATTGTTAAAAATTATGTTAAATGCTTAATATATTTTATTATTCATTTATTGTGAAACTATTAAACATGCACCCTGTACCTATGATAAGATATTTGAAGTGTTAAATGCATTTTATTTTTGTAAATGATTATAAAAATAATAATAGAATTTTAAAAATGATTTAGTAGTATTTTTTAAGGAATATAATTTAGATGTACTCAGTCTTTTTAAATCGGGTTCGGGTTTGTGGTCACTTGAATTACTCCGCTTGTCGCAAGGTGGCACTGCTGATGCAGACGGGTAATCATGATCGACCTGTAAACAGAGAAGCATGTTGAAGTAAAGTGGGGATGTTGTGCGAACGATTTCATGAGTGTTTCTCAATGAAACTTGTGTCTGAAAGGTCGAAGCTATTAACGTAAGCAGAATGGGCATTGTTTTAAGTCACACAATTGTTGCGTTATTCCTGCACTACCGCAATCGAGATCGTCATTTTGCTCAGGGTGCTTTAGAACAAAATTCATCTTCCGAGAGATTCTTAGACCAGGTAAGACAATAACCAGACTGCTGTGTACACTAGGTAAATACCTCCATATTGATTGTGTAGAATGATGTATACACACTGAAGGTGTGTCCACTTCAAGGTCATTACATTGCAGTGATGCAGCTTGATTACATTTTAAAACCCTCGTAACAATTGTGCATTGTATCTTTGCATGAAAAAAAAAACAGACCAAAAATCCCCAAGATAGTATTCTTTAATTAGTTTTAGGATCACGTTTAAGTGTGTTTTTGTCTAGAGGAGGGCATAGCCATTCATGTCACTCTTTCTGAGTTTCAGTCTTTGGCACATACACAGTGGGTAAGTTGATGATGCTCTGTGGAAAATCAACAAATGTTTGATTAGGCCTATAAGTAGCCTAATTAACTAATGATGAATTGAGAAAACAGGGGAAGTTTCTAGTATGCCGGTCCCCAGAATCACGCGATTGCGCATGAGCAGTTATTTCAACAAAACGCATCCGATCGAGTGATTAGGGTTAGGTTAAATATTTTTTAAAGTTGGGGTTGTTTTATAAATCCACTCTGTAATCTTTCTGACTTTGGGCTTATTCATGTCATTTTTGCTTACAAAAGGCACTATGAGTGCCTTTTGTGACCAAAAACTTGCATGAATCAGCCTGTCGAATCGCGCCGATATCTTACACTTTGGTTTAGTTCACGAAATTTTTGCTTTACAAAGAACAGGAAAGTTTAAGAAATGAAAGTTCGGGTAAATCAACTCTATTGTCGAAACATGACGATTTTCAGCGCTGAGTTTAGGCAAGTTATTGTAAAAGCGACTTACCGTTAACTGCAGCTCGATATCCTGACCTCCTAATCATGTCCAAATATTCAGAATATTTTTCCTTTCAAATCGATAATGATGCACAATTCAATCCATCGATGACCAGTAATTAGCTAACATTTGTTAAATCCCTGTATTTCTCACAAAATCACGCAATTTTAATAGCATTGGACTTTGAGTCCTTCAGTCCTATCAGGCATTTCTTCATTACGTCAACACATAAGTGACGCAACTCATGAATATTTATGAGATTACATCAAAAATTGATCATGTGACTACATTCCTAAACAAGTACGTTATTTTACGAAATCTTTTAATTCTCATTTAAAAAACTGTGTTTAAAAACCAGTTTTTTAAACCCATTTTTTCACAAGGAACACGAATTTGGGGTCAAATTTGAAATTTGTGGCTTCTTTTTCGATTTTGTCGATCGCTCACGCGATCGTCTATATATTGTACACCGCCTTCGGCGGCACCTATTTTAGCGCCATATTTATGGGGACCGGTATACTAGAAGTGTTCCGAAAACAATATCAATCATGCAGATGAATCTGTATATTTGTATATATACATATATAAACAAATAGTTTTTAACTCTCAGTTGAGCTTTAGGCTTTTTTATCACTTATAGTTTGCATCCATCCAGTGTCATTCTAAGTCCAGCTCTTGTAAACTTTACAAATACTTAGCTTATCATATTTATTCTCGAAAATCTTTAAATCAATTTCACGCAAATTTGACACATTAATTAAGACACCCTTGGCTCAAAATTATGCAAATAAAAGGCTATATCTAGAGCCAAATGGAGATAATTAAGTCAAGAAAAGGTCATAAAAAAAATGGGCGAGGTCATTCATTCAATATTTATTTCTGAGATTCATGATACATACAAATTAAATATTACAATGCATAAAGAACATCAGTAGAAAAAAGTAAAGCAGGTGAAAAAATATATATACAAGCCAAAGAGAAAGAGGGGAAAAAATGAGAAAGGAAAGGGAAAAAACCATACTTAAGTGGATTTTCAACAATTTGAGTAGCCTTATTATAATAGACAGTGGCACTACAAACAAATTTTGAACTGATATATAAATAAATCTCATTTTATCTATAAATGACGTTGGTTGAAGCCCACCTAGTAATGTTACATTACCACTAAACTGTGTAGCTCTATGTACAAGTGCATAATTCAAACCCAGGGCTTGAACGCTAAGAATTGAAGTAGCAGGGAACACCAGTCTCACTCAAATCACTGCATTGATAACAAATTGCCAAGTCAAAATTCTGTGAACAAATAGGTATAAAATTATAGATGATCAACTTATAGTCTTATTGATCTATGTAAATATTTTGTTTCATGTGGAAATGAGAAAAATCTTATAATCTACACAAATGCAATGGTTGTTAAGCATGCATCTATACACATAGGCATGTGTTAGTGTTGCAAATTTTTACATAATTGTGATATGTACATGAGGTCAAGAAGCATCATTAGATAAGTTATTATTCCTTCATTTGAGGGTGTTATTAGTAATTTAAGCATGTCACAACCAAAATTAGTTTAAATGTGTAATTTTTTTTTTTCAGATTACCATGATAACTATTAACTAAGTAATTATAAATATTGTTTTTTAACAACAAATTTAAATAACCCTCTGAATAAAATATATTTTAGTAGATAATGAACAGTATTCAAGCTCAAAAGTCCATTAAAATAAAAATTGGAGCAAGGCAAACATGGACCTCTAGAATATCAGAGGTGAGATCAGGTGCCATGGAGGAGTGGGCATCCCCTGCCGACCGGTCACATCCACCTTGTGCTCCTTCTTATGCTCGGGAAATACGGAAAAATCCATCGACAACTAATTCAGTGTGTTTACAATGGCCTAACAATTAGTATGAAAACCATCAGTTAGCATTGACTTAATGATAAATTGAATGTTATGGCTCACAAAATCAAGGATAATTACATGAATAGGAACTCAGAGTCCAACAACTTTTTTATACCCGCACTTTCAAAAGAAAGTTCGGGTATATTGTTGTTACTCATGTCCGTCCGTCCGTCCGTCCGTCCGTCCGTCCGTCCGTCTGTCACACTTTTCTTCCCTGAACTCCTCCTACATTTTTCACAGTAGCTTAATCATCCTTTGGGAGATGGTTGGGGGTGTCATGTAGATGTGCAGTAAGGTTTCGGAATTTTGATTTTGCCCCAGGGGATCAAATGGGGGTCGAAAAATGACGTTTTTTATACAAAAAGCCCCTTCTTCCCTGAACTCCTCCTACATTTTTCACAGCAGCTTAATCATCCTTTGGGAGATGGTTGGGGGTGTCATGTAGATGTGCAGTAAGGTTTCGGAATTTTGATTTTGCCCCGGGGGATCAAATGGGGGTCGAAAAATGACGTTTTTTATACAAAAAGCCCCTTCTTCCCTGAACTCCTCCTACATTTTTCACAGTAGCTTAATCATCCTTTGGGAGATGGTTGGGGGTGTCATGTAGATGTGCAGTAAGGTTTCGGAATTTTGATTTTGCCCAGGGGGATCAAATGGGGGTCGAAAAATGACGTTTTTTATACAAAAAGCCCCTTCTTCCCTTAACTCCTCCTACATTTTTCACAGTAGCTTAATCATCCTTTGGGAGATGGTTGGGGGTGTCATGTAGATGTGCAGTAAGGTTTCGGAATTTTGATTTTGCCCCGGGGGATCAAATGGGGGTCGAAAAATGACGTTTTTTATACAAACAGCCCCTTCTTCCCTGAACTCCTCTTACATTTTTACAGCAGCCTAATAATCTTTTGGGAGATGGTTAGTGGTGTCATGTAGATGTGCAGTAAGGTTTCGGAATTTTGATTTTGCCCCGAGGGATCAAATGGGGGTCGAAAAATGACGTTTTTTATACAAAAAGCCCCTTCTTCCCTGAACTCCTCTTACATTTTACTTAGCAGCCTAATCATCTTTTGTGGGATGATTAGTGGTGTCATGTAGATGTACAGTAAGGTTTCGGAATTTTTATGTTGCCCCGGGGGATCAAATGGGGGTCGAAAAATGACGTTTTTTATACAAAAAGTCCCTTCTTCCCTGAACTCCTCCTACATTTTTCACAGTAGCTTAATCATCTTTTGGGAGATGGTTGGGGGTGTCATGTAGATGTGCTGTAAGGTTTCGGAATTTTGATTTTGCCCCGGGGGATCAAATGGGGGTCGAAAAATGATGTTTTTTATACAAAAAGCTCCTTCTTCCCTGAACTCCTCCTACATTTTTCACAGTAGCTTAATCATCCTTTGGGAGATGGTTGGGGGTGTCATGTAGATGTGCAGTAAGGTTTCGGAATTTTGATTTTGCCCCGGGGGATCAAATGGGGGTCGAAAAATGACGTTTTTTATGCAAAAAGCCCCATCTTCCCTGAATTCCTCTTACATTTTACTTAGCAGCCTAATCATCTTTTGTGGGATGATTAGTGGTGTCATGTAGATGTGCAGTAAGGTTTCGGAATTTTGATTTTGCCCCGGGGGATCAAATGGGGGTCGAAAAATGACGTTTTTTATACAAAAAGCCCCTTCTTCCCTGAACTCCTCCTACATTTTTCAGAGTAGCTTAATCATCCTTTGGGAGATGGTTGGGGGTGTCATGTAGATGTGCAGTAAGGTTTCGGAATTTTGATTTTGCCCCGGGGGGTCAAATGGGGGTCGAAAAATGACGTTTTTCATACAAAGAGCCCAGTGTTCCCTGAACTCCTCTTACATTTTACTCAGCAGCCTAATCATCTTTTGGGAGATGGTTGGTGGTGTCAAGTAGATGTGCAGTAAGGTTTCGGAATTTTGATGTTGCCCAGGGGGGTCGAATGGGGGTTGAAAAATTATATTTTTCATACAAAGAGCCCTGTTTTCCCTGAACTCCTCTTACATTTTACTCAGCAGCCTAATCATCTTTTGGGAGATGGTTGGTGGGGTCATGTAGATATGCAGTAAGGTTTTGGAATTTAGATTTTGCCCCGGGGGGTCAAATGTGGGTCGGAAAATGACGTTTTTTGTGCAAAAAGCCCTGTCTTACTTGAAGTCTTCCTTAATGTTACTCAGAAGCCTAATAATCTTTTAGGAGGGTTAAATATTTTGAAAATTATGTAAAAAATCAACGTCAAGGGGTAACAAGATGTGTTTGTGAAATACTATGCGCCCGCCGTCAACAAAGTACAACAAAGCTATTTTTAGCATATAGGTCACAGTCAAGGTCACAAGGTCATTGACCTTGGTGTTGTTTGTAAGAACTTAATTAGTGGGGTATGCATACTAAGTATGAAGTTGTTATCTCCTATGGTTCAAAAGTTATGGCAAAAAGTAGAAAAAGCTATTTTTAGTATAAAGGTCACAGTCAAGGGCATATGGTCATTGACCTTGGTGTTGATTGAAAGAACTTTATTAGTGGAGTATGCATACTAAATATGAAGTCCCTATCTCTTATGGTTCAAAAGTTATGGCAAAAAGTGGAAAAAGCTATTTTTAGCATATAGGTCACAGTCAAGGTCACAAGGTCATTGACCTTCATGTCATTTGAAGAAACTTTATCAGTGCAGTATGCATACCAAATATGAAGTCTCTATCTCCTATGGTTCAAAGGTTACGACAAAAAGTGGAAAAAGCCATTTTTAGTATAAAGGTCACAGTCAAGGTCACATGGTCATTGACCTTGGTGTTGTTTGAAAGAACCTTTTTAGTGAAGTATGCATACCAAATATGAAGTCCCTATCTCCTATGGTTCAAAAGTTATGACCAACACTTGAAAAACCTATTTTTAGCATACAAAAATATGCTCAAGGTCAAGGTCACAAGGTCATTGACCTTGATGTCATTTGAAAGAACTTTGTTAGAGGAGTATGCATACCAAATATGAAGTCTCTATCTCTTACGGTTCAAAAGTTTTGGCCAAGGTTAAACTTGACAACAGACAAACAGATAAACAGACAAACAGACAGGACAAAAACAATATGCGCCCCGAAAAAATTCGGGCGCATAAAAAAAACATTGCATGCTGGGAAACACCTTGAATTCTTATGTACATGTCAAATGTGAGAGTCATATCTCATCTCAATCAAAAGTTATAAGCAAATGCAACATTTTTGAAAAGTAGGTTAGGCTTGATCGCTTCAAGGTCAAGGTCACAGTGTAAAAGTATTTGGAAAGGTCTTATCACAGGTAATAATAAACATGCATTATGATATGAATGCCCTAACTTTTCTTTTTCAAAATGATGAATTTATAACAACTTAATTTTTTTGCAAGTTGGTCAAACTTCTAGGTCACATGTAAAAAAAAAAAACCATGACATTCTCACAGGTAAATATACTAATAATAAGTTTAATATGAATGTCTCTTCTCATTCAGTAGATATGACCGTGATAACCAAGATTAAATTTTTTGAGACAGATGGACTGAGTCTGACATACAAATGTACATATTTCTATATGAATTGGGTAAAATTGGCCCAGTGGTTCTAGAGAAGTTAAAAATGTAAAAAGTTTTCAGACAAACAGATGGACAACACGTCACGACAGACATTATATGCTAAGGAAACAAAAAAAGCTCAAATGAGTGTTTTGAAAGGGTTACAATATGGTTGGAGTATTTGAAAAGCTGTTTTTTTTCTGCAGAGGTATGCATGACCAACATATTTATGTTTTATATTTTCTTTAGTAATTTGTTTGTTTGTTGTGAATACATCTTCCCTCATATGGAGACACCACCAAATAATAATGAAGATAAGATGTGTTTGTGAAACACTGATGTCCCAGTATGGAAGCCTATGGCGAAGGTTGAAGTTTCTCAAATATATGTCAAACTCAAAGGTCAAGGGTTCAAATTGTTAGTATCAGAAGAAAGTCTTGTCACAAGGAATGCACATGTTAAATAAAGAAATCTCTAGTAATTCCTGTTCAAAAGTTAATTGCCAAGGTTAATTTTTTTTTAAGTGGTTCAAACTCTAGGGTCAAGGTCAAACATATTTATACCTGTTGACAGTTCAAAATGAATACAATATGTCATGATAAGTATGAAAGCCCTAGCACCTACTGATCAAAATTTAGGCAGAGTTTAAAGTTTGGTATTTTTCTTGTAAAAATGTGTATCCCATGTCAAGCGATCAGAGGTAAAAATTAATGGTACCCAAATAAAAGGTCTTATTAAATTGTCACAAGAAATAAATTTATAAAATGTAGAAGCTATATGTATTGCCCATCCCACTTAAAACTTATGGGCAAGCTAGCTAGGATTTAATTTTTGCAGACTTATAGACAGACATACTATAAACACAAGAAACAAAATATGTATAATAATTAGTCAAATGGAAAAAAAATATACTATTAAACTGGAATCACAAAATAGATTGTTATTTCAGGGACAGGAAGTGGGTAGGAAGATTGGAATCCCCCCCCCCCCCCCACATCTGGCATTTGCTTTGTTATTTAAACAAGACTATATACTGTAGCAAGTAAAAAATGACTCTTGACATCCTCTCCCTATAAACTTAGAAAACATTGACCTCACTATCATTGTTTTTTTGTTTGTTTATTTGTTTTCATTTTTTTCTCCTGCTTGTCACGAAATTCTGGGCTGGAATTTTTTGACTGAGATGTGAACCCCCCTCCCTACTCCCGAAAAAAATTCTGGATCCGCACCAGTTTTGGCAGTAACTGAATGTCACATCGACAACGGGAGATAATTTCACAATATGAAATTCGTCTAGTGTGGCATGGGATGATCTTTGACCCTTTTTAAACTTTAACCTAATCGTTGACTTCTACTTACCGACCCCCTGTGTCTCGTAAACTTCATGAAATATAAATCCAATTATAACACAAAATGAATTAATCCAATGCACACCAGACTGCAACCATGTGCCATTTTGGCGAACTTTCGTCGATTCCGTCACCTTATCAGATGAAGTGGGAATCGGCCGAGGTGTGCCAAATGGTGTTTAATCTATAAATATCATAATGGGTGACGCAACGTGATGTAATGTAGAAATTTACATGTTCACATGTATAGTACAAGAACAAATTCTAAATTAATTCATAACAAACGATGTTTTAACAAAACTTTTCCATCTAGCCTATTCCAAAAAGTATGTGCTGTGTGATTGTGGTGTCGATGGGGGGGGGGGGGGGGGGGGGGGGGGGGGGGGGTAGTAAATTTAAAAAGGTCCTATTATGAGCAAAACATATATCAAAATCTAATTTCAGACGCGGATCCAGAATTTTTTTCCACTTGGGGGGGGGGGGGGGGGGTCCACCTCAGTCAAAAAAAAATCCTATCCCAAAAATTGACAATAAAAAAAACCTAAAGTAAATCTCAACCTAACGTCAAAAACCTATATCGTGGAGGTGGGGTGGGGGTAGTGGTGACTTCTATTGCCGCAAATGTTTAACTTTTCATACCTATTTTACACATATTCGTGTTTACCAGGGGGGGGGGGGGGATCTGCATTTTCCAAGGGGGGTCCATTGTAACTTTTTCCTTGTTTTAGTGTATTTTTTAACCTTGTAAATTCCAGGGGGGGGGGGGGTCCTGACCCCCCCCCCCCCCCCCCCCCCGACAGATCCGTGCATGAATTTACATCATTAATAAAATTCAGACTGGTATATAATGAATTAAGCATGTGTAAAATAATTATAAGACGTTCTGAGTTATAGGTCACAGGGTCTGAGAATTTCATAATCAATTTGATTAATACATGTAAATTATAGAATTATTTTGACTATTTCCTTGGAAAGTCGCCCAATATGTAGGAGCGTGTATTTAGAGGCAAACACCTTAGTGCGGGTATTACTGTCTCATGACAGCATCTAGTTCTCTCTGTATTTTTTATTTCATAGATTAAATCAAAACTTCTCAATTGTATAATTATCTTGATTGCCGGTTTTATGAATTCACATTATATACATACATAGATAAAAATTCAATACTGCTAATTGTTTGTGAACACACTGTGAATAATGGCCACTCGATCTGTTTGAATGTCAACACTAACTGTTTGAGATAAATCAGTGACTACAATGTAAGGCTAATATTTGTATTGAGACATATCAGTGTTGAATTAATCAGAGCCTCTCTATTGTGCGATCTGTAAACAATGGCAACCTTTCATCAATAAATATGTTGACAGTTTAGGTAAACAGCAGACTTTATATGCTGATGGAGTTCCTGTGCTATGTATTGTGCACAGAGCAAAAGCCTCAGAACGTGGTATTCTTCTGGATTCTTGGCTGAAGAACAGCGATAATTCTGCTCATCTTGAAGTGTAATTTAAGTGTTAGGAAAGTTCAGTTTAAACATATGCCATGTCTGTTTTCTGCATCCTCATCAATTAATGCCTTAAAGCATATGCTGCTCATAAAGATGAATAATGGGGGTGATGAATTAGGGTTAATTTGATTGATAAACTGCCTGATCAGCTGTTTAATTTCCCAGCATAAAGCATCAGATTTTTAAGCATTTATTCTGCTGATATAACTTTGCCGTAAACTTTTTAAATTTGGCACTTTTATTCAATGTATTCAGCATTTGAAACCATATTCCACAAGAAAAATCAAACAATTGTTGTTCCCCGCTTTCAGTGTCTTTGTTTGTGAGATATCATTATTTATGGCTTATTGTATCAAATATAAACCCCCTATCATATGTCATTCAAAAGTTATCACCAAAGTAGTTTTTTTGGAAAATAAGGTCAAACATGAGGGTCAAGGTCAAGGGGTCAGAAATCATAGCATGCTCTGAAATATCTTAATTGTCACAGTTAATGCAAATGTCAAATATAAAAGCCCTTTAGCTTGTCAGTCAATAGGTTTGAGGAAAAAATATCAGGCATTGGTATTTTTCAAAAAACTTTTTTCCCCTACCTGGAAGACAAGCTTCATGAATGTGAATGATAATGAATATTTGAAAATAAAACTCAGGTTAATTATGTCATGGACCATGGCGTTGTTTTTTTTTGTTTCTTTCATTTAAAAACTTCTTTGTTTCAGCTTCAGGGTTATCATTTGTAAACAGGACTGTAGGTGTAACCAGTGTTGTATTTGTTTTAGGAGGCGCTCTCCTCCCTGGAGAATGTGACCAGGATCAGAGATCTGTACAGTACAATCAGAGAGGTCCTAACCACCCTGCTCCATAGAAATGTAAGTATTTATAAACAAACATTTCATCCTGCATATTTCATTTTATAAGCATAGCTTACAAATTTTCATCCTGATGGTGAGATTTGTGGGAATTCACTATCAAACAATGATACTGTGTAAGCCTAACTCCTTGTCGATGGAAAATGCTGTTGTCAATTATTAAATTCTTAAAAATTTATCAGACTTGATGCTAATACAGTAAAACACAGTTATAGCACACATGCTTATAATGAATTGACACTTACACTTGCAGGGAAACACTCTTCTTCATTCCCCTTAACTTTATTATATATTGCAAACATGACAGATAATGATATTACAATTTTCACTTAAAATGAAGCAAAATTGTCTGTCTATGGCAATTTGTTAAAAGCATGATTTACTGTACAGTAGTTGTACGTGTCATGATGGAGCCAAATATTAAAGTAGAAATTATAATATATATGAATATACATTGAAAACTACAGAATTCACACATTTCCAGTACTTACACGTGTGTTAGCTGTGTTGTTACTCTTGGAAAGTATACCGTATATACTCGCCTATAAGTCGGTCTGCCTATAAGTCAGTTGTATTTTTTGACGTTATTTTGGTGGGATTTGCCATTGACCCGCTTATAAGTCGGTACAATTTTTTTGTCAAAATCGGGTGGCAATTTCAAGTAAATCCATTGATGTTTTAACCTGGTGTAAATTAATATTTTTTAAGATGACACCGATATTTAATCTTAAATCATTAAACAAATAAGCAATGCTCACTTAAGATACATTTATACAATTAAATTTATTAAAATATGTAAATAGTTGTACTTTTTGCATAATCTTAGAATACATAAATTATCATATATAGGGGGCCTATCCAAATATTTTCTTTGATAATCATCGGATATGCATATATACATTTCAGAGTACAGTAAAATACCATATCTTTATGACTCACCTATAAGTCGGACATATAAAGTTTAAGACCAATATTTAACTCCCACAAAAACAACTTATAGGCGAGTATATACGGTATATAGAACAATTTTTTATGAAAGAGCTTTAAAGTACATTATAGAGATAAATAGAGAGTATAACTTAATCTATTGATTTTAACTTCCAGTTAATTTAAAATCGTGAAGAACAATACATATATGTCTTAGGAAAGTTAAAAAATAAAATAGACTACTCAAGGAGTACGATGTTGTATCTCTTTGATGATCAGATTTATTCTTTTGAAGTTACTTGTACTCCCCTAATTATTTTTCTCTTGTAAGCCTAAAATTAAAAGAGGATAAAATCTTGCTTGCATGGTTTATGATAGAAGTAAGATATAATGCAATTTGATGAGCTTTGTTCTAGCAAATCAATACCTTTTTTCATTCATTTCTTTGACACACCAGTTTTTCCCATAATTACTGAAGTGTCATTTCCCCGTAGTAAGCGCGGAATGAAGAAAGGCTGTATCTTGTTTGGTTTTTGATAATGGTAAGCAATAATGTGATTTGATGAGTCTTTTTTTATTAAATCAATACCTCGTTTCTAACTCATGTTTACCCAATTTTCTCTGAAGGAAGCCAAAAAAAAAAAAATCAATGGGAAGAAATCAGCTTAAAGTCAGCAAGACAACTTCTTATCGTCAAAAGCAATGTAATAAAATTAGAATTGATGTATAGAAAAACAGGAGACTTGTTAGCTGTAACTTAATGGACAAGCCTCAAATGAAGGGAGCATTGATTGAGTTAAAATTTCCACAAATTATTGTAGTTTCTTTGGAGCATGTGTAAAACTAATGATGTAGGAGAATATATTTAAGTAAGCCTGCAGGTATCAAAGAAGTAGATAATACAGACTCTTTTTGTATTGCAAGAAGTAAATGTTTTAAAAATTGTAACAAATTCTGCATTAATAGGTTTTAATGAAAACACAAATAAATATTTATCTTTAAATCATATTAAAATTATAACATATGTTATTAATTCTAATAATTTCTATATTTCATTGATATATATGTGAAACCTCAAAAGCCACAAATAACCTGATAGTTCATATTTTGTCTGGTTTCAATGATAATTTCCTTTTCATTTGAATTAAATTCTCTTGCTTATCAATAAAACATGTATTAAAATTTAAAACAAAATAAATAACATTCCCTAACAAAGAAATAATATACCCTTAAAGTGGGCTAAAATTCAAATAAAATATCTAAAACCTATAAAGTGTAGTTTTTTTAAATGCTGTTAAATCAGCCGGCTGTGGAGTTAATTGTTAATCCCTGTTACGTATTGATATCTCTAGTGTGTTGAACTAATATTATGCAGGCAACCCTTGTTATCTCGAACTGGAAGGGACTGGAGAAAATCTTTGAGATATCTGTATCTAAGGGTTGGAGATATTGAGGCCAAAATCCTTAAAGAAATTGTGATTCTGACTCCCAAATCATTTTAACATATCCATGCTATTCTAAATATCCATGTTCAAGATACCATTGTTCATCTGTAACATGAATTGATGTTTCTCAGAGAACTGAAGATAAATTTGTCATTTTGCATGGTTTTGATACATGTACTAATTAAGACATGCTTTTAATTATGTACTGAATTAAAAAAATTTTGATCGTAACAGGTGAATTCCATTGTTTATATCGCTGATGAGAAGTCAGGAGAATTGTATGCTGATAGGGAGAAAAATCATGTCGCACCAAGCCACGGCATTGTCAGGTAGGATCAAGTTTGTGAAGAGTTATTGCTCTTTACTTACATACACATATATATATATAGTGTGTGCGGTATATGATGCACTTTGTATTGGAAAAGCTTTTCCAATACAAATACAAATTTAAAGTAATTTATTTAGCACAATAATTTTTTGATATGTACAAAAGAAATTTGCTATGATTAATTTGCACCAGCTTTCAATGTTCAATACTTATCATGCATCTTTAGTTTTATAAGACTTATATCCAGTTTGTAATTAAGATAGCATTTTCAATTTCATATTCAATCATACCAAATTAATACTGGCCAATATGCTTATTGCATGACAGCATTTCTGTTCTTTGATTTCAGTCCATCTTGTTACTAGAAGTATATTCCAGTCTAATTTAATGGGATTTTCTTACACTATAGACCCTATGACCTTATGTTAATTTGAGGAAAGTAATCAATGCATCAATCATTAACAGCTATGTAGATGGAGCTTGAGAAATGAGGATATATATAGATTATGAAGATGCAAGTAGTTTAGGTCTGAAGAGATATAGACTGAAATGGAAAAAGATTGATGTGTTTCTTTTATTTCATTTCATGGAAATAAGGTGGCCTTCGGGCTCTTTAGTGTTCATTCTGTTTTTGTATACTTGAACACAATTTTTCTAGAAGATAAACCTTGGCGTTCAGTTTTTTAATTCAGAGCAAAAAAAAAATCAGATAATAAATGTGAAACATTCATAAAAATAATGCCGCATTAAAAACATTACAAAAAAAAAAAATGAAGAATTTTTCAATCATATTTCAGGGAAACAATAGAGACACAACAGTTTCATGTTCAGAGTACAGATGTAGATGAGGACCCAGTCATAGCAGTGTTAAAGGCCCAATGTAAACTCCCATCTAACTGGATCCCTAAAACAGGTAACTCTTCCTGACAGACTCAGTGTAGACTCCCATCTAACTAGAACCCTAAAACAGGATCTAGAGGTATCTTGCAGGCCCAGTGTAAACTCCTATCTAACTAGAACCCTAAATCAGGTAACTCTCTCACAGGCCCAGTGTAAACTCCCAACTAACTGGAAACCTAAAACAGGTATCTAGAGCTATCTCACAGGCCCAGTGTAAACTGCCAGCTAACTGGAAACCTAAAACAGGTATCTAGAGCTGTCTTACAGGCCCAGAGTAAACTCCAAGCTAACTGGAACCCTAAAACAGGTATCTAGAGTTATCTCACAGGCCCAGTGTAAACTCCCAGCTAACTGGATCCCTAAAACAGGTAACTCTCTCTGACAGACCCAATGTAAACTCTCATCTAGCTAAAACCCTAAAACAGGTATCTAGAACTATCTCACAGGCCCAGTGTAAATCCCATCTAGCTAGAACCCTAAAACAGGTATCTAGAGCTATCTTACAGGCCCAGTGTAAACTTTCAGCTAACTGGATCCCTAAACAGGTAACTCTCTCTAACAGACCCAGTGTTAACTCTCATCTAGCTAGAACCCTAAAACAGGTATCTAGAGGTATCTTACAGGCCCAGTGTAAACTCCCATCTAGCTAGAACCCTAAAACAGGTATCTAGAGCTATCTCACAGGCCCAGTGTAAACTTTCATCTAACTGGAACCCTAAAACAGGTAACTCTCTCTCACAGGCCCAGTGTAAACTCCCATCTAACTAGAACCCTATAACAGGTATCTAGAGCTATCTCACAGGCCCAGTGTAAACTCCCAGCGAACTGGATCCCTAAAACATGTATCTGGAGCTATCACACAGGCCCAGTGTAAACTTTCATCAAACTGGATCCCTAAAACAGGTAACTCTCTCTGACAGACCCAGTGTAAACTCCCATCTAGCTAGAACCCTAAAACATGTATCTGGAGCTATCTCACAGGCCCAGTGTAAACTTTCATCAAACTGGATCCCTAAAACAGGTAACTCTCTCTGACAGACCCAGTGTAAACTCCCATCTAGCTAGAACCCTAAAACAGGTATCTAGAGCTATCTCACAGGCCCAGTGTAAACTCCCAGCTAACTGGATCCCTAAAACATGTATCTGGAGCTATCACACAGGCCCAGTTTAAACACCCAGCTATCTGAAACCCAAAAACAGGAAAACTCACAGGCCCAGTGTAAACTCCCAGCTAACTGGAACCCAAAGACAGGAAAATTCACAGGCCAAGTGTAAACTCCCAGCTAACTGGAACCCAAAGACAGGAAAACTCACAGGCCAAGTGTAAACTCCCAGCTAACTGGATCCCTAAAACAGATATTTAGAGCTATCTTACAGGCCCAGTGTAAACTTTCAGCGAAATGGAACTCTAAAACATGTTACTCTGTTTAACAGGTCCAGTGTAAACTCCCAGCTAACTGGAACCCTAAAACAGTAAAAAACAAATTACAGTCTAGGCCATCTTTGAAAAATTGTCTGTTTGCCCTCTCTCAACCAACTGCCTAAAATAACCTGGCTCAAAACTTTTTTAAACCACATGAAAATTTTTTTTTCTTTTTATTCCTGGTATCCTTATCGTCATTAGTATGTTCAAATTTAACATGGGAAAAACTTACCTATCGATGTAACTTTTTAACCCTTAGACAGGAGAGCGTTAACAAACATTATTTTAAAGTTTGCCTTGGAAAAGACAAAATTGTCTCTGACCCTAAAAGCTAATAAAAGCAAATCTTTATGACTGTATTGTTGGTAATATGAGGATTAAAGTCTAAAAGTTACAGACACCAATTCCATGGGGCATATAGGATGGGGATTCCTAGGTTACATACATGTAGGTTATCTTCGGGTAGCTTATTATGAAAGTTCATTCTCACAAAGTGAAGTCAAATGATATAAAAAAAAATATTAAACTTTGATTTATTCCATTCAAAAATTATTTTGAATAAATTGAAGTGCAATCGTCAGATAAACTTTTATTGATTATATTTGTCTATATGTATATATGTTTGATCCTTCAGTTTTCCATTTGATTTTTGTGGAAAATTTCCGTCAATAAAAAGTCACATCACTATTAAATAAAAGTATGGCTTTAAGTACATGGAGCCCAGGATTATTCCACAATTTAGTGGATCTAGGGAGATCCTTGGAGAAGTGTATTGATCTGTTTGGCAAAGTGAATTTAGCTTTCTGTCTTTATTTCATCTCCCAGTAAGAAGGTTGGGGGTGGTCTCCTAAAGCTGTGAGATAGAAACTCTAATGTGTGATGAATTCTGTTTTGCTAAAATCAATAACGATGGACATAAAGGTTTAATTGATGATAAATTTTACTTTATGTTTAATGAGTGTAAGTTTACAAGTCCATTAATGTTTTATGACATTTACTTGAATACCATTTTAGATTTTACTTAAAATATAAGATGTACAGATGCAATAAGTATGACTTACTTCTTTCAAAAATTCCACAGTAAGATATTACATAGTAAACCGATTCATAATCATTGTAGTTCAGATTCATTTTTGACATGACATATTTACATTACACATGATGAAAAAGAGTGTTGCAATAAATTGGAGATCTCGCAGAGACCAAAGTAAAGATTGAACAAAACATGGAATACATTGCCTTTATTAATTATAACCTCATACTGAATACCAGGAAATAAACCCTACCAGGGTATGATAAAGTGAACTTAGCTTGCGATGACTGCATCTGTGAAAAGGTAACACAGTGTTATTTCCAATATTCAGTTAATGACATTTTTATTACATTTTTAGCTCAATACCAATATTTTTTTTTCAATGTTTTAAATATATTTGTGAAATCTCTCTAAATTTCTGATCTGTCTAGCTGTCCGTCTGTCTGTCTGTAAACTTTTCACATTTTTGACTTCTTCTCAAGAAGACTGGGCCAATTTTGACCAAACTTGGTACAAAGCATCCTTGGGTGAAGGGGAATTGAAATTGTTAAAATGAAGGGACACATCCCCTCGCAAGGGGAGATAATCAAGAAAAGATAAAAATAGGGTGGGGTCATTAAAAAATCTTCTTCTCAAGAACCACTGGGCCAGAAAAGCTGAAACTTATGTGAAAGCATCCTAGGGTAGTGTAGATATTAAATTGTTCATTTCATGACCCCCGGGGGAAATACGGAGACAATGGGAAATCAAAGTTTTACATAGAAATATATAGGAAAAATCTTTGAAAATCTTCTCAAGAACCGCTGGGCCAGAAAAGCTGAAACTTATGTGGAAACATCCTAGGGTAGTGTAGATATTAAATTGTTCAAATCATGACCCCCAGGGGAAGGGCGGGGCCACAATGGGGAATCAAAGTTTTACATAGAAATATATAGGAAAAATCTTTGAAAATCTTCTTCTCAAGAACTACTGGGCCAGAAACGCTCAGCCTGAAAAATGTGAAATTCCTATGGGTAGTTCAGATATTAAATTGTTCAAATCATGACCCCCGGGGAAGGGTGAGCCACCATGGGGAATCAACATTTTGTAGAAATATATAGGAAAAATCTTTGAAAATCTTTTCAAGATCTACTGGGCCAGAAAATAAACTTATTGTGGAAACATCCTAGGGTAGTGTAGATATTAAATTGTTCAAATCATGACCCCCGGGGGAAGGGCGGGGCCACAATCAGAGAGATGGAAATTTTACATATAACAAATATATAAAATTTTGAAAATCTTGTCACAGAACTACTGGGCCAGAAAAGCTGAAACTTATTGGAAGCATCCTGGGATAGTGTAGATTCTAAATTGTAAAAATCATGCCCCCCAGGGGAAGGGTGGGGCCACAATGGGGAATCAAAGTTTTAATAGAAATATATAGGAAAAATCTGTTGAAAATCTTCTTCTATAAGAACCATTTTGGTGAAAAGTTGAAACTTATGTGGAAGCTTCTTGGGTAGTGTGTTCTTAATTGTTCAAAAGAGGGGCTTTACGAGGCCATTTTGGGGAACCAAAGTTTTACATAGAAATATATAGGTTATATCATTATAAATCTTCTTCTCAAGAACCACTGGGCCAGAAAAGCTGAAATTTGGAAGCATTCTGGTATAGTGTAGATTCTAAATGAAATCATGACCCCCAGGGGAAGGGTGGGGCCACAATTGGTAATCAAAGTTTTACATAGAAATATATAGGAAAAATCTTTGAAAATCTTCTTCTCAAGAACCACTGGGCCAGAAAAGTTGAAACTTATGTGGAAGCATTCTTGGGTAATGTAGATTTTAAATTGTTAAAATCATGAAGGGGAAGGGTAAGCCACAATGGGGGGATACGAGTTTTACATAAAAATATAAAGGAAAAATTTTGAAAATCTTCTTCTCAAGAACCACTGGGTTGAAAATTTGAAACTTATTTGCACATGGAAGGATCTGGGTAGTTGATTTCAAAATGTCTTAATTATGATCAGTGGGGTAGGGTGGGGATACATAATGTATTACAAGGGGGAAATCTGGTAAAGAACAGAATGGTCAAAGCTTCTCAGGTGAGCGATGTGGCCCATGGGCCTCTTGTTACTAATACCAATATTTTTTTTTCAATTTTTTAAATATATTTGTGAAATCTCTCTAAATTTCTGATCATAAATATCATTAGTAACTGCCAGTCGGACAGATATATTTAGTGATTTCAAATGTACATGTTTTTGATGTCATTGAGAATAGAGAGGTGGGAAAATATAATATATTATTTTGATGTCACAAACACAAGATGAGATTCTCCAAGCATTTACAGCTGGGACAGATATGTTTCTGTAGTAGTCTAAGTACTCCATTGACATTCTGTTGAGAAAAACATCCAAATTTGTAATAAAATGATTGACTGTATGTGTTTACCAGCATCGTTCTTGGCCTGTATATTCTGCCTATATTTTGGTGATAAATACCTAAATCCCTGTTTATTTGTGTTCTTAACTGGTGATCCTTAAAAGAGTGGCTTTACCTGCCATTTTTTATAACCATTCATACATTGATGTTCGATATGAATAGGTTATATAATATTTATGTGGACAACGTTTCTGTGTCTCATGTCCCAATAGAATAAAATAGAAATTTTAGCATTTATTGTACTACATGTACAACTTATTTTAGTTATCGATGTTAAACAGTTTAAAATAATGACACAATGTTGATATTCAAAAATGTATGTACTTATCTGTTTGCTAATTATTATGTTTAATGCCTAGGTTAGTATTCCTGTATGCTTTTAACTTTGTACAGTACTATTGCTAATTTTAAAACATTATCTAAAATTTAATTTTAATCGGTATAAGCAGCAATTTTATACGATATTTCAAGCTAAATAAAAACAATGTAGCAATTATTGAACATAATCACTCCCTTTTTGTTGCTATTTGCAATTTTCCTCACCTCATCTTTATTTTCTCTTTATTTTATTTTGACATTTAACTCCATGTATGGTCGGCCACCAAAAAATGATTGTAGCAACACGGTGGTTTATTTATTTATTTATTATTTATTTATTTTTAGAAAATAATTAGTAGATGTCTACACGATCATACAGAGGCCTGTTCTCCTTATGAGAACAGAGAACAGACGAAATTCGTCTATTGAGGCTGGTAGCACGAGGTGTAAAAAAAGAAAATGTGTATTTTCTTATCACCAATTAAAGATTTATCATACTAAGATAAATCAAATATATATATATATATATATACAATATACTAAATAAAAACAGAACTTATTTTAGTTATCGATGTTAAACAGTTTAAAATAATGACACCCAAATCACTGACATGAACCCTATTACCTCCCAAAATATAGTGTTTAAAAATGAAACAAATATGATAACACACATGAACCCCCTGTACAAATATACAATTACAGTACTACACATATTGTAATTTTGAAGTTTCTATACTTTGAAGCATTTTGAGGTTGTATGTCAAGGTCATGCAATAGTGATTCTGAGAAAATCATTTTGTTGTGTCTAGTCTTGATTTAGGATTAATATTAAGTTTTTATGACTTTTTAATTTCTTTTTTTCCTTTAGTTTATTGCCTGCCTGTAACAGATGAAGAAAATCAGAAAATATTGGCTCTAATTGTGGTAGGTATTTTCTCCTGGGAAATTCATTCCTGCTAAAGAATAGTCTGACCAATTATTTGTTCTTTATGATAAATCAACCAAAGATAACCAGGGTTCTTTGAAGAGTTCCAGTAAATCTTTCAAATTTGAGAAATCACTTGCCTAAGATACAGTGGCGTGCCAAAAGTGAAGATAATTTTATTTTTTCTCTATATATTTCATTGAAAACAACATTTTGTAAAATCATAGGTAAATGGTCAATTTTTCTCCAATTTAATTATTTATTTCAGTACTTAAACCAGAAAATGTGTAGTTATCTTTCTTTAAAAGATCATTACACGTTTAATACGTAGTAAAATATAGTTCATCACTAAACATCAGTTCTAAAATTTAAGATCAGTGTTGACTATATAATTCATTGTGAGTATATGACTTAAAAATTCATGTCACACTTAAATTACAATATTTTTAAATTATCAATGCTTATCAGATAAAAACTATTGTTTTTTTTAACTACAACAATTTCTTGGATTATCAAGAAATTTTTGATAAAATCTGTCAAGAAATGTTGTCATACCAGCGATTTTACAAAATATTGTTTTCAATGAAATATATAAAGAAAAAATAAAATTATCTTCACTTTTGGCACACAACTGTACATGTATAAGGATGGAGCATAAGCCATTGTCATCACTTGTAGAGAGACACAATTAAATTCTGTTTCTAGGTATTCCAGCTTTCCTATTACATTGATATGAATCTAATTTGAAAAAAAAGAACTGTATTTTCCCCTTTTTGGACTGCCTTCTAGCTATAAATAAACATAAAGTTTTATGTGAATTTCTTTTTCAAACCAGTCATGAATGAACTCAATATTAACTTTAACAAATGAATTGTTTATGTAAATGGGGCATGCACTATTTACAAGTTATTAGTTAATCTAGTGAGCATAAAGCTTAATGAGCTCGTTTGATCACATTGTCTTATTTGATTGTCTGTCTATCCATCAGTTTCTTGTACCTGATATCATCAATAACGCTTCCCAATATCTTCTTCTTTAAACCCATGGGGGCAATTTTACCCAAACTGACAAACAACAATGCATCATTAAAGGAAGAGGATTTACAGGTGTAATTTTATGCAAATGAAAGGCCATACTTCTTCAAGAAATAGTAAAAATTGGGATGTGTGATTAAAAATCTTTTTTCACATGAACCACTATGACAGGAAAGATGAAAATTAAAGATGTAGATCAAAGCTTCCTGATGTGAGGTCAGATATAAACTTGCTCAAAACACTGGACCCTGGGGGGGGGGTTAAGTAATATTAGATTCAAGCATTCTCAGGTAATTCAGCATCAAGTTTGTTTAAATCATGGTCCATAGCGTAGGATGGGGCAACATGAGTCTAACAATATATAGGGAAAACATTTTCAAATCTTCTTCAAAAGAGGGCCTAGATATATGATATTATTACAGTATATATTAGGGTTTACAGACAAGCATTGTGGCCCATTGGCATCTATTTTTATGGTTGCAACACACATTTCATATTTTTTATTGAAGGGATTTGAGAAATATGGTAAAATAAGAATCTTGACAGAGATGTGGCATGATACCATTGGATATAATGAAGTGGATATACAATTGTCTTATATTTGTTTTCTTTATTTCCACAGATTGAGGATAGTGTAACTGTAGAAATTAACAAAATTGTTCCACTGAAGCAAAAGGTAAATGACATTCATTTTTATCAAATTCACGTTTGTAATATAGTGAAGTTTATGCATTTGCTTATTTCTGAATTAAAATATATTGTAATTTTATATATATATTGATATATATTTGCTATAAAATCATATAATTGCCCAGTCAAGTTCAAGTGAATGGAAGTATGTGTTAATATAGGGCTGGGTGTTGAAAGAAATTTTTGGATACGATACATATTGCAATACAGAGGTGCGATATGCGATACATATTGCCGATACAGACAAATGAGAATACACTATTTTTTGCATATTGTTTTAAAGAGGTGATAGTATTTTTTGATTAAAGCATAAATTTACAATAATAAAACATTTTAAATCCTTGGGTTTTTTTTCATTCTCTTTGAATGGACAAGTGTTTGGCAGATTAATGTTATTTGCCCATATTTTTCTTCAGAAAAATCAAGGCATCGATCCGCTTAGTCAGGTTTCAGACAAGTCCTTGTGCATGTTAATATGTTGCCACTGGTGCTAAATACTCGTTCTGAAGCCACAGACGACATCACAACATTGACCTGTTTGACTGTGTTGATACTTCACTTGATGTCGTATTCGTGGAAGTAATAGCAGATAAAATATTTTACCAAATTGCTTTGAGTTAAAATAAACTATGACTTAAAAATTCTGATTGATATCTTATTATCGGTTTACATTCCATGACTTTTTTTCGACGCGCCATTTTACCTATCGGAATTGCCTCAAGTTTCACAGTAGCAAACAGGTCAGTGTTGCGATGCCATCTGAGATGGGTAATAATATATAGGCTCGTTGTTCCACCAGAACTTACGACTTCTTGTTGACAAATATAATTACATTTTGCCTTTTTGCTGCTAACTTTTACGTAGCGACCCTACACTTTTGACATGTTTACATGCGTTTTAACGATTTTAGATAAGTCGTTCGTAACATTAGTCACTTTGATGTTTTTCTTTCTCTTAATTAAACGTTGAAATAATCGAGCAATACACAAGCATCTCTGTATCGGTTATCGTATTGCTAAAAAATATCGATATATACCGATTACCAATATATTGATCCAACCCTAGTGTTGAAGTTTTCAAGCATATTCATTTTGGCTGCATGATAAACAAAACAAGTTTGATCATGTTGATACATCATGAATACATCCCTAATCATTTCGTGTTCACTCTGAGTCAGATGAACCAGTGCTATCAGTTTCAATTCATCAGTTGTGCATTTTGCATTGCCAATAATCATTTCATTGGTAAATCTTCCTTGGAACAGAAGAAACAGTTTCAACCTGTTTTGGTATATCTATGAGTAAAGGGAAACAAAAAAAACATGAATTTAATGGTCACTGCCTTCATGGAGCCTGATCGGTTGTAATTAATCTAACTCAAATCTTCTCTCTTTGAAATCAAGCAGTCAGACATTGACATAGAAATAATACAAGCAGCAGGCCTTTACTTAGACTGTAAAATTCTTAACTTTGGCTTCAGGATGGGACTCCTTAGTGGGTGATTTACTATATTGAAGATGCACAATATCTTTATAGAGAAAATCTAACTCCTAGATGTTGAGGATACAAATTGTTATAGCATGAAATCTATGAGCCCTCTAACTCTAATTTGCGAGATTCATTATCCCAGGATCCTTGGCTTAGACTCCATGGCAGTTCTTACATAGTCATATATTAAAAGTGAATTCAAATTACACAGGATATTTTTCAGAAAATCTTTCTAAAACACTGCTAGTGCTGAAAAAAAAACACGGGGCGAAAATAACCCTTTTTTTCATATATTAAAAGTCAAGTGCTGATTTTTTTTTTAATTAAGTGCTTCTAGTAAGTAAAATGTTTCATTAAAAATTTTTAATGCTCTCTCATGAATATGGCCTGGGCATATATAGTATTTGTAATACCCAACTATCTTAATTTCTATCCATCTTTCCATCCATCACACTTTGCATTCAGCTTAGTTGAAAAAAAAAATGTTCAAAATATTTGTAAATAAAAATTTATACCCTGATACAAACCAGTGAGAGCTATTTAGGTCTGCCTACGAAACAAAAAACTTATTCCTACTTCATCATATTTAAATATGATCTCTGATCAAAAAAGAATAGTACATTTCTTTTCATGTTGCAATATTAATGTACTTTGGATGCGGCATTCGTGTCCTGTGGACATATTTCAATTTTTTTTGTAGACTATCTGCCATTTTCTGTGTCTAAATGAGTTGAAATTGACATTTTCCATTGGGAAAACATAAGTATCGTATACACACACCATGCTGCTTATAAAATACTGACGTATAGATTGTTAAGCACAACATATTGTTAATACATTATTTTATGTGATAATGTCAGTTTAAAAAATTGAAGTTTATGAATATATTGTACAACAAACTGTAGTATTCTTATTTCCTAAGACCCTGAGTATATTTAAGATAATTGTGTATGTAATTTGAATTCCTAATCTAAGAGACTTTGATTATAATGAGTTAACTTAATTGAAGTTATTGCACACATGACCTCTTCAGAAAACCCCAGTACCTGTGTAGGTAAAAGAAAACATGCAAGCTTAAAGAGGCTGGGTGGTTGTGGCCATTTTTAGACTATTTTGATCTCTCCTTTAGAAGAAGAGCTCCATATAAAGATATAATAAAATGATCAAATTTTAAAAGAAAAATTTATGAAATTGTTCATTGCCAAATGATAGTTGACAGCTCAGGTCCCAAAATTTAGTTATATTGGTGGTTAATAAAAAAACATAATTTGTTAGCCTCCTTAAGTTGTATCATACAAAACCAAAAATAATGTCTGGTGCAGTTTATGTTTTTCTTTTAATTAAGTGTTGATACTATTTGAATTAAAAAAAAAAACACATATACTGGCTGAATCATTTTTGTATTCTAAAATATTAAATTAATCATTAATTTAGACTTAATGTAGATGCAAAAAAATTTCAGACATTTAATATTCTGAATAGAAATACACAACAGACTGAAATTTCTAACAGTCACCAGCCTACCAATGTGTGCTTTTGTTAACACAGAGAAAAAACATGAAAAATGTAATGTTTTAGAATTAATGCATGTCAGAGTGTTCACTATGTTCAATGTAAACACAAGGTTCACATCATTGTCAGTTTTCCTTAAGCTGTCCTGATCCCACATCAGGGGGACTTAATGGCACTGTCACCCTGATCTATTGATTGTAAGAATTATACCTAGGCAGATAAAATGGGAGGAAATTTCAATCAAATCCTATTGTTACCTTCTAATAGTAGGTAATGAAGGCAGAGCCATTAAATCTTCATGTGTGTAGCTATTAGCTGAGAGAGAGAAGAAAGTCAATACCTGGAATAAATCATTCATGTTAAGCTATGACGTGAAACTTTGAAACATCAGAACCAACTTTATTTCATTGCAATTAAATCAGTCTCCCTCTTGGACAGACTGGCATTGGACTGGACCATTGAAACAGGAGTCTGAAACCGCTCCATCAACTCCATCATACTGCTTGTAATCAATAACAAATTAGTTTTTATATTTGAATGTTCTACTAAGAGAAGTGCAAGAGTGGTACAACATAGGCCTTACCATTGCCTAACTGCAGTAGAACATCTGGGAAATTCCTGTAATCATTGGAGTCAGCTCCCTTGTGGCTCTGTACATAATGAGCAACTGATGTGTAAAGTCCATGGCAAGTGAATTTGAGGAGTTCTGATGGGGCATTGATCTGGTTAATTGTTAAGTGTGCATGTTGTCTTCTAGACGCGGCCTGAGATGACAGCTGTATAGCTGTATCAATATTTGGATGGTGTATTGAAGATATAGGATGTCATCTAGCCCACATTTTATATTATGGATTTTATAGCAAATGCACTGCCCTAAATTTGTGTCAAGTGAAAAGTTTTGCTTCTGATGATGCATTCTTGTTTCTCCCAGATTGTGGGATGCTATAGGAGACTCTGTAAATGTCACAGGGACAGCTCGTCGAATTACGCTCCCTCCAGCATGCCCAACTCTACGCCAGCCGCCGGTGGCAGCGCTGACAAGGATGCCATACTACGACTTTGTGGTAAGGTCAATTCTGTAGCTCTTCATGCTTGGGTTACTTCTGTAATAATATTAGCTGTAGGAGACAACATATTCCCTAATCTGTCCCAGGTTCCCAGCCATTGATCTGCCTGTCTGTAATGGATATTTATAATTGATTAATTCCTAAGTAATGTCTTTATTTAACAGTTGAGCTGTGTTTTGAGATATCTCTTAAGAACTTTAATATCTTTGTGCTTTGCTGATTTTGTTCTGTATAAACATGAGACTGCCCTATTGTCCATCGTAAAGTTTACTGTTTGCCAGTCCATGCATATTAAGACCAGATATGTATTTAGAATCACAGTTTGAGATGAGGCTAAAGATTTGTTTCCAGTGTGCTATTGATCCTAAATGCACAACATTTGGTGACTTTCAGACAATTGTGATGAAAAGAAACTTGTTATTGATTTTCTACAATAGTTTAGACTTTAAGATTGTAAACTTGATTTATTATTTAAAACAGCTGATCTAAGAGAGTTGCCAAGAAAACAGGCAATTATGCATTAATGAGATTCAGTCAATACTGCATAATAATCAATTATGTGATCAGGGCTTTCAAAAAGATTTGAAGCAGGTGGTACTTTATAAAAAATAGGAGGTACCATTTGGCGAACGCCGAAGGCGTTAGCCTGCTAGGGGGGTCCGGGGGCATGCCCCCCCGGAAAAAATTTGAAATTAAGAAGCCACCAGACAGCATTTCCTGGTTTCTAGACACATAGAAGTATGCTGTTATTTTTATGCCATGTTTCAAAGTTTATTTCTGGTCAATACACATTACATGTGAAGTTTAGCACTGGATGAGTGGAATTACATAGAAAAATTAGTTATTTGAGAAGAGTAACAATAAGATTTAGGTAAAACTTCTAAGTTCTATGCTATATTTATTTATATTTATAAATTTGTTCAAAAAAAAATTGCAAGGTTTGAGTTGTAAGTGTGTTATGTTTTAAATATAAAAAAATTATTGAGTCACGAAAGGAAATGTAAATTCAAAATTTAGATTTAATAAAAGAGAAATGAAATTGTATTTGCTAAATTAAATTAAATTCATTTCTGCTCTACAGTAAAGTGCAGATTTTACCAAAAAAATTAGAAGAAACACTACATGATGCATAGCATGTACCAATAAATTCAGCATATTTTTCATGCACTGGTACATGTACATATAAAATAATATACATGTGTAAATTAGACAAAGATGACATCAAGACTGGAGACAAAAAAAAATTATATATGACTCCCTCACTTTACTGGATATGGTAACAATATTGGGAAGAAAGTAAACGTCCGCAAGGTCATTCTCTTGACCACTAGAAAACTGCTGAATCAAAGAATTAAATGTGTGGCAAAAGAAATAATTTCTGTTTTATGTCCTTTTGTTTCATCAGAAAGTTGCAGATATTTAAGACCGTAAGTAATTTATATCGTCACGGTCAGCTGCGGATTTTGACACTTAAATTTGAAGAGTTGAGGCTATTAAAATGTAGTACAGAGGTGGTCAAAGAACTATCTACTGTTCATGTCGGTCTCTATATCGGTCAATTGTGTTGAAGACTTTCCGCGGTCTAGTTCCTTGTATCTTAAAATCTTTTGTGAAACTCATTACCATTGCTCTAAATTGACACTTTCATTTCTGAACCTGGATTCCTATTTTTTTATTTTTTTGGCCGTATTTATTTAAAATATATTCATAGTCATTAGCTTTTGTCAAAATCAGTGACGGTGAAATTTGATATCGAAATCTACTTTCGTTTTCGACAAGATCTATAAGACGCGTTACGCAATCTCTTTTGTTTCATTTATTCAAACGCTTTAATGATCTTCTTGACTAACCAATCAAAAACGTTATTAGATACCATTACGGACTAAGAATAATACAAAGCTACGTAACCACAACTTTTGTAAAACATATAGGGCCTATCGTATTTTCATGTACCATGAATGAATCCAATCGGGTAAAAGTACCGGGTACCGGCAGATTTTGAAAGGCCTGTGTGATGTAGCAAATTTATAAATAATTTGTCACATAATCAGCTTACATCAAATGATGACACTGTAAGTGTTATCTATAATAGTCATTTATATAAAGTTAGTCTTACCTGTTAAATATCTGCTAACATTGTTATGTCATTGGTCTTGTGATAATAGATACCTATAACAAGAGGTTTTACTTTTAATTGTGTTACGCTTGTGACATAAATCTACAATTTCTTTGCAAATTTATTAATGATTCAAAATGTAGATATTTGAGTTGACCAGGTGTATGATAAATGATACAAACTGTGAATTTTTATGCCATCCCATACATCATGATATATGTAGTAAAAATAAAATAGTAATGACAATATGATTGAGGCTTTACATATCTGTTAAACATTAAAATCTGGGATGAGAACAGTTTACTTATGCCTGAATGGTTCATATACAAAGGTCAAATGGGCACTATCAAAAGTTGGCATATTTATATACTATAAACTGTGATAAACTCTGTTAGAGAATTAATTAAAAGAATGTGATGGAGTGATCCACATGAAGCACAGTTTATTTAGTGTCCGGAAATGAAAAACTCCATTGCCGAGGCACTGTGAACATGTAGGGCTCAATATTATCCTACATAATTACTCTTCAGTGGTTATGTCACTGTGGTGCTTTAGTGAAAAAATAGATTGAAATTGCATTGCTGTGTGCTTATACTCTGTAATGATTTATAGTTCTCATTAAGTCACCTTTCTTTAGATGAACTCATCTGACAGTTATAACGATACAGTATTTAAATTATTTCTGTATGAACATAGTTGATATTGCATATAAAACTTCTGAAATGTCAATCAAATTGTTAATTATCTAAAGTAACAAGATGTATGATGTAAAAGTTATTAATCTACAAGAGAAAAGGCTTTTTTATATTATTTGTGGTTAAATTGAAATAGCTGGTGCTATTTATTGGGTAAAATTTACTTACACTTTTGATATTTGGTTAATTAAAAAGGTCTGTAAAATTTTCTTACTATCTATTCAATGTTGTAGGTGACCTTTATGACCAAGATGCATCAAGACTTCAGTTAAAAGTTATACGATTTGTAAGTAATTTGTTTTCAACTTGTTCATGCCATTGGCTATATTACAATATTATGGGGTGTATGTGTAAATTAATTCAATTTTTTTTAGTGTCTTCACACATTTTTTACCAAGAAACTAAATATTTCTCAGTTTTTTAACTCAAAAATTGCAGATCTGAAGTAAATATACCCGAGATTGACATTTATGTGTAACATGTTGCTTTATTTTATTACTATGCATGCATGGAAAATTTAATTTGAATTAGCTTCACTTAGCTTTTCTATGGATTTAATGCAGTATTTTTATGCCCCCCCCCCCTTTGAAGAGGACATATATTGCTTTGCTGCTGTCTGTTAGCTTATCTCTTGTTCCACCATTAGTTTCCATTCATTTTCTTCGCAGAGGTTGCACACATTGATATGAAATTTGGTATACAGATTTATCAGAAGAATATATGGGTCAAGAATTGTTTTGAGTTATGATCGGACCATTTTGGACAGAATTGTGCCCCTTGGACTTAGAAAAATTCCAATTATTTGGCAGTTTATGTTCATTTTCTTTGCAGAGGTTGTACATATTGAGATGTTGAGATGAAATTTAGTGTAGAGATTTATGATAAAAATATTTTGCTCAAGTTCTGTTCTGTGTACAATCGAGCCATTTTTGACAGAGTTATGTCCCTTGGACTTAAAAAAATTCCAATTATTTGGGGGTGGATGCAAATGTATTTTACAAACATATCTTGTTTTTTCAGTACTTTGGGGTTGGGGCCCTCATAATTCCCATGCTGACAATATGTCATACAGTGCTAACGCAAGGTATTCAGTCTGTCAGCATGACTAGGTACTGTATTACGTGTGATGATGTCCAGAAATTTGAATTTAATGCTCAAAAGTAAAAAGAATTGAACTTGAAAGAGAAATGAAACCAATTAGAGAATTAACTTAGTTGACTCAACCCAACATTTTAAAAGTGTGATAGCTCTAATATCAGTAATCAGTGTTTTCCCTTTATGTCAAAGTAAAGGATTACAGTGGAGCCTCATTTATCCGGATGCTTTGGTTCCCAGTCAATTTGTCCGGATATGTGAAGCATCCAGATATCTGAATCACCAGTTAAACAAGACAAAATAACATTTAAAAATTCCGTTCCGATGAAAAAGCGTCCGGATACTGAAGCATCTGGATATCTGGCGTCCAGATATCTGAAGGTCCACTGTAAATATCAAATGTTGCAGGCTAAGGGTTGATGTTTATGAACAGAATCTCTGTCAACCTCGCAAAAAATTTGGATTTCTAAGCGGCATTTTTTTCAGTTGAAGCAGTCGATTTGGTAGGTAGCCGGTTCTTATGGAAAACACTGAATAATATCCCTTGAATTTCAATTTATCCAAAGACTGTTTGTACTGGATACATATTGCTTATTACGGTTCTATCAGTGATTACTTGTATGTATTTCTCAAAAGCACATATACCTAAATCAAATTTGTACCTATATATGTATACAAATGAACATGTATACTGTGGCAAGTATTCAATCATTGTTTGAATTAAAAATGGATGTCACTGTTCATTAATGTATTACTGGGTACTGTACAATCGTTATTTTATTCATCACAATACAATTAAAAAATGAGAGTATACCTTGGTACTTAGAAGAATCAAATCAATGTGGCAGAATTGTTTTTTACAATCTTTTTATATATTTTAGTTGGAGGAGCAGACCAATGCAGAATGTGCTTTTTTACTGCTGGTTGTGCCAGAAACACAAGAGTTATTTTGTCAAGTAAGTCTCAGTGTCAGTCCTCCAGGGGTGAAGCACTGTAGAACCTTTCTATTGAAATAGCATTGTAATCCTATGAGGAGATAAAGATTTAACTTAACATTTAGACATATAGGTGGCATATATCTGGAAATGAAAAAAGAAAAAAAATTAACTAGTGGCAAAAAAACTTTTAACTGTAGAGCATGAGTAGAGCATCAGATTGGTTAGTTGGTTTTCAAAAGTGGGTCGTGCATTTGCTTACTTCACTTAGATGAATATTTTGTACATTTGTAATGTTGCTGAGTGAAAAGCAAACTAGCATGCCCTTCTTCAATGCCATGTCCTTCATATGATACACCAACTGAAGAACAAAGCAATAGAGTTTTGGTCAAATCAGAGACTAAAGAAACAAATCACGATAAAAATTTTACAGTTCTAAGAAGCCCATGCACTAGACATCCCCTTCCCCTTAAGGCCAAGATCTAGTAAATGAGTTTTGGTTGTCTTTTTAGTGGTAGATCTATTATTCCCTTTGACATGTATGTATATAATTACAATTTAAGCTTACTTTTTCTTATACTTAACATCTATAACTGAATTATGTAGGAAATGAATCACTTTCTTCGAATTTAATTTGAAATCATGTGAAAAGAAATCCCAAATACTATATTTATTGAATATTATTTAAAGAAGAAATTGAGAAGTTATAAATTACCGTTTTCTGAGAAATCGTGATACATATGCTATTTCTGAGACGACGAAAACTACCATATTTATACCTAATTTTCTTCTCTTTTTTTTTAAATGACTGTGTGCAGTTTAATATATGTTTTTTCTTTTCGATGAGCTACCTAAAAATTAAAGCAATCAACTTCTTTGATTCAAGAAATTTTAATGCATCTTTCATTAGCTTAGGCCTAAATTAGAATATTGTTTGTTTGCCCTTAGCCGACCGACCCACGAAAATTAGCCCGACTCAAAATATTTTATTCCACTTCTCAATTATACATTTTTTTTATTTTCAACAAAGAAAAAATTTCCAAATGTACTAATACATCTTGTTCCATGAAGCATAAGTTCCAATAACAAAGAATATGTACATGAACATATTGATTTTTTAAAATTTAAATAGTAATTTGATTTGAAGTGAAGAAGAAAAAAAAAAAAGATATTTTTCCTACCTACCAACCCATTCCTAAAAATCTGGGTCGGTTTATTTGCAAACAAACATATTTTTAATTTTGGCCTTAAATCTGCCACTGGTGTTTACATTGATAGACTCGTATGATAAGAGAGGCTGCTGTCACAATGAAGTTTATTTATTATTTCAGGTTATTGGAGGACTAGTTCTCGAGGAAGAAGTCAAGTTTCCTGTAAGTCTGGGGTTTTTACTGTAAAACTAGATCATCATTTTGTAAAATGAAATTGTCACTTGCAAGCTGTGATTTTTATTGTGGTAATTGTAAGAGTTCATCTTGATATAAGTCTTTATCCCTTGTATCTAAAAAAATCATTTATCATTTACATCGAAGTGCTGCCTAGCCATTCCTCTGACAAATCTTAGTCATGGTGAAATTGTCAGAAGTCCATAATCCAGTGCAAATAAAGCCAATTATTGAAGTTTCTAATGATCGGAATTTGATTTAGTGTGCAGTTATTCCACAGCCCCTTCAAGTAAAATGTTGAAGTAATGAGAATATATTACTAAGGGAATAGTGTTGCAGCTCTAATTGGTCTGGTCTCAGGGTTTGTTTTTCAAAAGATCTTTTGTAATAGTTTTAAGCAAGGAAAATGATTCCTCCAAAAGATTCATCAATATTAGACAGTGATTGTTTGAGGGCCAACTGGCCCATCCTTATTGAAAATATACCTGTATTTTTCCAAAATGAAGAGGAAGTATACCCCTAAAAAACTTTTTATAATATGCGATTAATTTCAGTTTGTTTATTGTGTGTTTTTTGGTGAAATTCAAGCGGTTTTGTTGTACCTACATCCTCAACCATGTTGGATTTTATCTTAATTAGATATAATTTCGTACAATAATTGTGCTTGATATAAGTAATCAGATAATTTGTACGAAAAAAGTCTTGATTTCTCATAAGAATTGTTTGTTAAAGTAATACAAAGCCAAAAACAACTATTTTGGACAATGCTTTTATGTGGCTGAATTTTCTTGGAAATTCCCAAATTAGCATCATTGATGTTGAAATTCCCAATTCTGATGGCCCCAGCCCTAGTCTCAAAGTAGTAATAAAACACTGTTGTAGTAGGAGTGATTCTCTGTTGTAAAGAGGAGTAGTGTTGTGTGTTAGTTTCCTGTTTCTCGGGTTAAGATCTTGCCGTTTACTAGATAGGCAGTCGAGTAGAACTTGTAAATCTCATCACTCGTCCTCATCTGAAATTCTGGCTGAAGACAAATCATCTTCTGATGATCAATTGATGTTTTTTTAGGTTCAAACGGGGGAATCAATATCGTACCAAGTGTTTGTCTTACAGATAGCTGTGATGTTCCAAGTCTTGGTTCATGTCTTAGTGTAGGTCTGTCATAAATTCCATTTGTGGTGGGGAGAATAGGGAATTAAAAAAATGATGAGGCAAGGAAACTTTTTAATGAAGTGAACTATATGATTTTGCACATCACTGCTTTCGTTAAGATCTAGGGACATTCTGATTCAATATTTTGTTATCATCAATGTTGTGATCAGAAATTAGTATATTTTACGTCACATTGTTTTGTATTGATATAACATCGATGGCCATGCGCCATAAAAACTTGTCATAAAGGGGTTGGCATGGCCACATTGGATGGCAAAGATGCAACATCAATAGTTGACTGGTCACTACCATTTACATTCTTATTTGACAAGTCATTTTTTAAAGTTTGTCTCTTTGTTTGCTTTTTTTTTGAGGCATTTTCCATTTATAGTGAATGCATCATGAGATATACATTAACAATAACCCCCCCCCCTTTCTCAGACATCTAATTTTTTTAAGAAGCAAAATTAGTGTTGAAGAAATTCTCCTCATCAAAAGCTTTTTCTTATGAATACTAGATCCACAGGGAGAGAATTTTCCTCAGCAGTCCATTTTTTTTTTTATGAAACTCTCATTCATGATTGATTGTGCAATCAGCTGCTACTTTTTGCCTTTCCCACATAAGTGTACTGTGCATAAGCAGTTGTCAATAATACAAGAAGGGAAAAATCTTTTATTTTTTGTCACTGATGACAATGCTTCAATCTTGCATCCAATTTTGTGAAAAGCACCTGCTACCATAATCTATAGATTATTCAGAGTTTAAAATTTTCTTCATTAATTATTAATAAATACTGTAAAAAAAATCATATATATTGTAGGAGTCTTATGAAAAAGTACTTCAACATGTTTTCTGTGTTGTTGTGTTTTGATACAGTTTTTGTAGGACATGAATTTGCAGGTTTCTCTGTACCCCCCAAAACATAAAAAAAATTAATCCCCAACAAAAATTAGGGAGTTTACAGTATCATGAGACATAACTATAAAATCTCAGTAATACATGTGCATCAATGAGCAATGCAATATAAGATACATTTTTTTTTAAAAATTCATACAGAAGTATCTTGATGAATTCTTCTGGCAAATGGCTGTGTTATGATTATACGTTTAATTCACGGTTGTCACTTTGTGAAATTTCAAGTACCCATCAAATTGGAATCTAGAGTGACTTGCAACAGACATCTCCTGAGTTTGTAGTAGCCTTTGTTAATGTTGCCTGGGAATATTGATTTGGAGTGGGAAATGGTTTGGAAGCAACATCTTTTTTTTTTGTCCATTGTCCATCAATTTTTAGTGTAAAACAAGATCAAATATGTGTATGCCAGATATAATTGAAGTAGGATCTTGAATGTTTTTATGGAGACATATTTCATGCTTGTGAGAGCTGTTTGGTGTAGGAAGCTAGTCTTGGAGTCTTTGTCTCAGAAGTAAATGGCGAATGTCAAGTCGGCTTCAATGATATTTGGATAAAAGCAAAAATCATGACAACTTCCAAAGCTATCAGGAAAAATGATTATAAAATTACTGTGTATTTGTTTTGTGATTAGGGAAAACACTAAAAGCTCTCTATTGTCTGATGTTGGTTAGGGATGCTTATAGATGATAAAGGACAATGCTTTTGGATCCAGCTGTATTTTCTTAAATGGAAATTGCTTTCAATGAATTAAATTACATTATATAATTTGTTAAAAGTGTCAGGTCTTTTTGTGACCTCATGTTCAAAGAGCTAAATAAATGTTCTGTATCCAGGGTTAATTTGCCTCATGTTATTTTCACTCTGTCACACTTGCAAACAGTTTTGGCCCAATTTCAAATTTGTCTGCACATTGTATTATTAGAGAGGTAAGTTGTCTCAGAGAAATTTGCCTCATTTTAAGACTTCGTCAAGTGACCTTGGCTATTAAAATTAGTTTACTGTCAGTCATGGCTTAGAACCCCAGTCTAATCTACTCCATGAAAAGAGCTGTGCAGAAATTGCTTTGGTCAAGATAAACATGCTAAATCAAACAAAAGAAAATAATTTGAACATTTTTCTATAAAATTACAGATGTTGGTAAATCAGTTTGAAAATTGAAATCTTTGCATGCCAGATAAATCTGGACACAGTTGAATATAGTCAATAAGCTGTATAAGGTTTCATGACTATTAATAAATCAAATCCCAGCTTTTTCCACAGTTTTCTTATTTTTAAAATGTAAATTAGACATTTGTCTAAGTTCTAAAAAAGTTTTATTTATTTAACACCAATGAGAAGTATAGGAAATTTAGAATTTTTACATATTACAAAAACTGTCCTTTAAGTGATTTCTTGTTTAGAAATCTTTATTTCTAAACAATAATGGAGCCTTCAATCAAACAACTGACTTCAAAAGTGGAATTTTACAGAATTTCAAATAAGTAAAACCCCCTGCATGTTTAGCTTGTGGCTGTTTGAATTTACACTACTAGAAATGTAGCTGGGTTTTTTTTTAGACAAACTAATCAATTTCCTCTACTGTGACACCCATTTGAAGTAGTTAGATAATTGAGGAAGAGATCATGAATTTTTCCAGTGGATTCCCGTGGGATTTTTACAGATGATAGTTTCGGTGTAATGTACAGTGAGACTAACGCTGTCACTAAAAGTGAAGTCCTGGTATTGATCTGATCCTGGCTGATTCTGATCACTGGAGCATGGTCTTTAATGAAATACTAATTATTGATCACACTGATCAAATGGCAGCTAATGATAATGGATCAGAGAACAAAACACTCATCAAAATTTCATTGGCAAAAATATGCTTATGATGATGTACATTAGTTGATTGGTAAAAAGAATACACAACTTTTATTTTATGTTTGCACAGTAAAACATAGTTACATCAAACAAGGGTATCATAAATTCAGGCTTACAGCAAATTGGTTTTCATTCCAGGGACAATGTAGCTGCAGATTTGTAGCATTATGGTTTTACATATTTGTCTTTGACCATAACGCTACAGATCCTGTAATGCGAAAAGGTGCAATTTACAGCACAATATTTTTTGCGCACTTTTTGGGAGAATTTATCCACTTTCTATCATCGGTTAATTAACCATCTTTCATTCCCTAATTCTAGACACATTATTTAACTAATCTGTATATTTTATCTGTCTCCCAACCCTTTATAGTCGTCTCTACAAATGATAAACTCACTTGATTAAAATTATTTGTTAGATTGCTGAAAATTTACTTCAAGCCAGTTTATTGCCTGTAGAGACAACTATAAATGGTTGGAAGGTGGATAAAATATACATATTGGCTACAGAATGTGTCTAGAATTAGGGAGTAAAAGGTAGTTGACTGACCAATGCTAGAAAGTGGTGAAATTTTCCCCAAAAGTGCGCAAAGAATATTGCGCCGTAAATTGCACATCTTTTGCATTACGGGATCTGTAGCGTTATGGTCAAAGACAAATATATAAAACCATAATGCTACAGACAATGTAGCTTTAAAAAGCTTTAATATTGGTTACAACAAATATGCTCATCCTTTTCACTTCACAATAAGTTTGTTTTAATTAATAGTATGAAAACCTAATTAAGAAGTATTGTTAAGCTTATTACATGATTGATATTTCTAAATATGTTCATAATTTTATGACATAATGTGTGTATAATTTCGCATATTCCATATTAATTTTTCTCCTTTTTGCAGGGCCAAAATAGTGTTTTCAGTTTGCCTTTAGATTCAAAGAAACCAATGAAATTAGAAGACGTACCTTTGGTAAGGCTTTTTTTTACCTCAGGAAAATCATGAAAGTATGAATAAGATTGATTATACATGAATATGATGTCTTATATGATACATGTGTATTATAATTTCAAGAATTTCATAAGGGTGACAGATCACAAATTGTATGCATACCACCCTCCCCCTTTCCATGAATATTTAACATAGATATTACATGAAAAAAACATGTTGATGCAAATCTACTTGGGAGTTCATTGAACGATATCTCATTTCTTTCAGTTACCTGAAATTTTCTTCAGAAATAGATCTAAGTTCTCATAAAGAGATGAGTGCACCTGCTTTATTAATTAGTCTAAGAGTGTATTTTTAGATCTCTTTCATATGAGAGAGATTAAGAAAAATTGAACTAATTTACTTAACAGCATTCCTTTGAAGAAAGAATGGCTTTTAAGTCTAACTTATTATTAATGTGGATTTTTTTTCTTTTTAGGACAAAAGGAAAGAAATAGAAAACTTTGTAGGAGTGAAATTAAAGTCCCTGTTATGTGTTCCAGTGTCTAGCAGAAATAGTGATGGTTTAATAGCTTTAGCATGTGTTGTGAATAAAAAAGATGCTGAAAAGTAAGTTCATCTCTGCTACCTTTGGAAATTATTTTTAGTCGTTTTTCCGTACATTTTTGGGGGTTCAGTTTGAAATGTGAGAGTCCTCCAGAAATCACTTTGTCCATCAATATGTCTGTCCCTTGATCTGTCAACACTCTTGTGATGTGATTACTCAAACAGTTTTCAACAAAAATTTTTAATATTTTACACCAAAGTACTCATTGTAAATAAAAGATAATTATTCATTTTAAGGTTGTATCCCCTAGTTTGTATGTTTTTAATAAATATATAATTATTCAGGAACAGCTGAAATGTAATTCAACTAAACAGAGGAATAAGAAACTGTCTGTCAGTTTGTATGTATTTCCATGAACCATGATATGATGTCTAACACAATCTCTAAAGAAAACTACCAAAGTTTTACATAAGTTTTTTACTATGATAGGAAGACATCTATAAATTTTGAATTTTTCATTTTACATAAGTCTTTTACTATGATAGGAAGACATCTATAAATTTTTGAATTTTACAGGTCACCTACATCACCTCAATTTTTATTATGAAATTTGGTATGCAGATTTATCATAAAAATAATGGTATAAAGAAGATTTATCATAAAAATATCTAGGTAAAGTTTTATTTTGCATACAATCAAGCCTTTTTGGATAGAGTTATTCCCCTTGGACTTAGAAAAATTCCAATCAATTGGGGGAACATCTCTTGTTTGTTTATAACATGTTTAAAATCAAAGAACATGACCAGCAACATCAATTACCTACTTTATATATTCCGTGTATTCAAAAATTGCTTCAAACGCAGTCTACTGCTTCCTTTTCAGTAAATATTAGAAAAGGGAAGCCTGAAATCAATGCTATTATGTAAATGGGAATACCTGTCAGTGATATTTGATTGGCTGCATTCTGCTTGCAAATGGGAGTTAATAAAATAAAAAATTAAAATTTTTAGTGATATTAATGTTTCAAGACAGATTGCAATAGAGTTGAAAATATCTCAGTAAATTGCAAAGTTTAAGCCAGTAAGCAGCCTTTGAATGACACTTCATGATATTTTGTAGTTTTTCCAATGAAGACCTCCAGACAATTCTCCAGTGTTTTCAGTACACATCGACAGTCTTAACGAGTACATTAGCATTTCAAAACGAACGAAAGCTCAAACTTCAAACTCAGGTAAGCAGAGCTCTAAATGTCTCACACACCATATCCCTTGATTTTAGCAACACGTACACTATATCCCTTGATTTTAAGAGTTACTATCAATTTCTGTTTCATACAATTGGAGTGATTATATCAGTAATCTTCATAATAAATAAGGAGGAAAAAATATATATTACTGAAAAAAGACATACAAATGATTATAAAGTTAACGTATTTAAGGTAAGAAACATGAAACAGTAAACAGTTTTATTATTTCAGGCTATGCTGCAGGTGGCAAGAAATCTATTCACTCATTTAGGTGAGTTTTCCTTAAAACATAATGAGGAACTAGTAAGCTATACAAATCTGACCCAGTTCCTGGCAATGTACAAAGAACAAGTTACAATTCCCAATAGGAAGAGAAGAGAAAGTGTGCAAAAAAATAGCAACGGGTCAGCAAAAACCTATCACTCCATATCATTAACAGAGAGTACGTCATACAGGCAAGGACAAAGGCACAGTTTAAGTAGTCTGAATGACTCATTGTTAGAAGAGAGATCCTCCAAGTATTTTAGAAGTCATTTAGAAACCTCATCTGGGGAAAAAGTAGATTCCCATCATACTGAATGTTCAGAGTCCTCCCAACAAAAATCAATCTTCAGAAGAAAGTACTTCAGCTCTGTATATGTTCAAACCAATGAGGAGAGTATTGATACTGAAAATGAGGATTTATCTCTGAGTTTTGAAAAGGAAGTAAAGACAGTCCAATTACCATTGGAATCAGAATATATCCATAAGACAAAGGAAAGAGAAGTGAAGCAATGCCATTTAGAGGGTAACATTGAGGTAGTCCCAGCAGATTCCTATGATCCTGTGAGTGGTGAAAGCGATTCAAGCTTGACACAGGTAGAAAATGAGGCAGCTGAGGAGTGCAGTGGTATAAATGTCCCCGCCATTGTTGATGATTCTTCTCAGCTTAAGGAAGTCAGTTCCATTCCCCCACCTTCCCTTGATGTCAGCTCTACTGACCTGGCATTAACAGAGCCAAAGGAGGACAGTGATCAAAACAAGGCAGGAAATCAAGTAGAAATGTTGAAAAAAATCAATGTTCAAGTGGAAGAACAATCCAAATCCGATAGTATTGCTGCAGATAACAGTTTACTAATAGAGACACCTGGAGATAAATCAGGTACATCTACAACAGAAGAAATTAGAGATATCCAGCCATCCAAGGCTGAGAGTGAACATTGTGTTGTTACTGAGGAAAGTATATGTGTTGAAGCAAATAATAACACTCAGCCTAATGAGCAAAATCAAATGGAGACTTCCAATACAACTGAAATAGGTGTATCTTGCCTTGAACAGAATTTGGCAGAAAAAGCTCACAGTGAACCTGGTAGCAGTAGTTCTATTATAACCTCCACTCAGCCAGAGGTACTTGACATGGAGCACAAATCCAAAGACAACATAGGTGCCCAAATGAATAGCAGTATCAGAATGATTGAATCTGTCAAAGAGGATGTGGTCATTATTGAATCAGAAAGTGACAATAATTTGAATGACTCTGTCCTATCATCCATGTCACCATTAAAGACTGCTGTGACAAATGATATGGACAAAGTAGGAATGAAACATATTGGCACAGTAGACACTGGTAAATCTAGGTTAGAGATGGATACTCTCAAAGTGCCCTCACTGGCCTCAGAACAATTGACTATAAAATCTTTCCGGACTGCTCGAGATGAGACTGTGGAGAGTACTGTGGAATCACCACCCGCTTCTGATCAGGAGGTGGACTTGGAGGATTCAGATGAAAAGATCGAGGTGTTTTATGATACTTTTACAGAGCGGAGCATTAACAGTTCCGTGTCAGAACAGGGCCTCTATAACTCTCTACTGGACAGGAGTATGATGGAATCACCTTCTCCATCCCCAGAGCTGAAAACAAGAGAAGTTAGACTGTCCAAAAGTGACCCAGTTATCTCGAAACAGTCTATGCTAAGGTCAGAATACAAGGAAAGCAGACCTAGTTTAAATTATGCCTTTGTTGAAGATGTGGAATCTTTCACTGACCCTTTGAGAAAATGGTCCAGTGACCTAGAATCTGTTATAGAGGGGCTAGGTTTGGTAGCTTCCTCTTCCTCTCCCACTACAATAAGCATTAAGATCATTGTGGAGAACACCACTTCACAGGAAACCCATTACTTTTCACATCAAAAGGTACCCAATCTTTCTGCCCACTCCTCTTTTGACAATTTTTCCAAGAGGGGTTCAGGTTGTAGCTTTGAGAAGTTTGACAGAGATCTGGAGTATATAAAACAGCAGCAGCCCCCGACAACTGATGTTCTGAATGTCACAATAAGTAGGCCTTGTTGTGTTGAGACAGTTGACCCGTTTCCTAGTTCCTACTAACAGGTGTTCAGTTTGCTGATTCAGACATTTTAGTTTGTGTTTTCCGGACAGTTGAAGTATATAAAAATTAAAAATATTTGTCATGTGCATGTGATTTAAAGTGTTTATTCAAATTCTTTGTTATTACTTCTTTCATGTTCATGCTGTTACTGTTGATTTCTTTGAACTATTATCTTATTAAACAATTTTAATTGAAATGTTTTTATTAACCAGAGATTATTTTGGAATGATTAAGAAAAAGATATGTTTTAGAGTATAAAGAACTATTTGCATTAAAAATTCAGAGAATACCAATAGAATTATAATTATTACAGTAACTGAGTAATCTGTATAAAAAAACTATTTCTTCTTAATTTTTTTCTAACAGAGTAATTTTTAATTATTGACAGATGATTTAACCAAACTTCTCCGAGAAATTATGCAAGAGGCAAGAAACCTGACACAGGCTGAAAGGTAGAGACTATCCTTCATGACAAGTTTTAAGTCTTATAAATTATGTCTGAGAAAAGAATTGTTGATATAGAATTTTATTTTAAATTTTTATAGATGCTCAGTATTTTTGATTGACAAAGAAACCAAAGAACTTGTTGCAGAAGTATTTGATGGGATATCAACCAATAGTAAAGAGGTACAGTGTCCAGATGATGAGTATTGATTGTTTTAGACATGTAGTTTGTGACAGTTATAATTACGGACTGCATTTATTTTGTAGGAGTATAATGAAATTAGAATGCCAATTACTCAGGGAATAGCGGGCCATGTCGCCACTACAGGTAAACCTACTTCTGTGTACAGGTGCTTCAGATGAATTACAGCTAAATTAACAATGATTTTACAGATACATGTACTCATGAATTCAGGAAGGATTTTTGTTGTTTAACTAATGTTAATCTTAATTTAGAGCATCTTATTTTTATTTACTTTAAGGGAAATTGCTGAATATTAAGGATGCTTACTCCCACCCAATGTTCTACAGAGGTATTGATGATTCTACAGGGTTCAGAACTAGGTAAGGTTTTATTTGCCTTGTGTAACCACACTGTATGTATACATGGATAAAGATAGTAAGAGAATAAAAGTATCGAGTCAAAGTGTAATTATTGTTCAACTTTTATTTTGCAGAAATATACTGTGTTTTCCTATCAAGAATGAAAAAGGTAAGTACAAAGGATATTAAAAACTCAACTTAATGAATTTCCTTGAGTTTATTACTGGGAAGTTACTTTTCCTTATGAATATGTATAGCAATACTAGGTCAGCATATGACAACTGAGTTTATAATAATCTTTAAATATAATATCTATAATTTAATGAGCCTTTAGTTTGTACCAGAGGAGAGAGTGATGATGTTGTTTTATTTATGATGTACAGGGGATGTTCTGGGTGTAGCTCAGCTCTGTAACAAGAAGACAGGACAACACTTCACCGAGTTTGACGAAGACTTAGCCTCAGCGTTCGCCGTCTACTGCTGTATTAGTATCAGTCATGTACGTCTTCTGCATTCATTCATTTCATAGTTTTGTAGATTAATGTTCAAAATTATAAAAGGTTAAAATGAAAGTTTATTTTTACAATCAATATTCATAATTTTTTCTCTCTGATAGTACATATAAATTGTGATAATGTTTGAATAATATTTATTTATATTTTAAATAATGCTGTATTTTGGATACATTGGCATTGATAACATTTCAGATCAGTTTGAATACTGTTTGCAGGGGGTATCTTCCCTGCAGGACTAACAAAATTTGTAGTTAATTTTATGATTTTATTATGTTTTTTTTTTAAGCCAGTCTTTACCATACCTGTCTTTCTGGGAATTTCCAGCATTTTTAGACTATGCTTACTTGTAATTAACAGAGAGCATTCCTATAAACTTTATTTTTTGTGGTATTCAAATACAGCTCTACAGGTTAACTTGCTCTAGAGCCAATTAATATTTTAGTGAAAATTGCATTTGTTTCTCCCTGTAAATGGGCTTGTCTGAGGATACATGTATATTTACTTATTGTATATAAAGCTTTTGTCATTAATTGTAGTATAACTGAGACCTATTGAGTATATTAACATCTGTAAGTTCCAGTAGCTGCTGATTAAGCTTTTTTCACACTAAATTCCAGTCGCTGATGTACCAGAATGTTTTAGCGGCACAGTATCGTAACAGTTTAGCCAATGAATTAATGATGTACCATATGAAGGTAACTCGGTAGACTGCAGTGTTGTATCATCATTGTAGCACTAAAACGGTGTACCCTCCAATATTTAGTTGTTTTATTTTTCTATCACACCTTTTTATTTTATTTTCCAGCTGTTTTTGCTTGAGCTTTTCTGTTAACATTGGGTAGCTCTTGTATTACTTCCCTGGTAGCTCTCTACTGACACTCTGTATTTCAGGCAGGCAGGCCGTTCTGGATTATTAAGGAAAGTGTGCTGTTTTAGGGATTTAAGTTCTTAGTTAAGTGGATAAAGGCACTTGGGGACTGACTTTTACAATGATGGGGATGACTATTTTCCTTTTGCAGTGTCTTATGTACAAGAAGCTTCAAGATTCACAACACAGAAATAGTATAGCAAATGAACTAATGATATATCATATGCAGGTTGGTCTTCTTTATTCTTAAAATAAAAAGGAAGGGTAAAGATGTAAATACGAGTTTTCTTCAATCTAGTCAAAGTAATTAAAATTTTATATATATTGCATGCCCTCAGTTCAGTTTATACACCTCCACCTTTATTTAATGTTATCATTTAATTCTCCCTTTGAAAAAGTTTTTTTTTATAATGAAATAGACATGGAATGATTTTCCTATCTTCTTTTGTACATTTTCATAAGTTTTACTTACTAGAATCTTTTGTACACCTGAGACCACTGTTTGCAGTTATTGCATTTGCACAAACATGCATGGGAGTGAATCACACCAAATATTTAAACATATAAGCCTTTCTTTAACAAAAGAGGATTAAAAATATGTATTTTGTGTTATTGCACCACAAAATAAATATGCATAATATTGAAAGAACATGTCATTGGTTTAATATAAAAATATATTTGAATTAAGTTTTATAAATTAAATTTGCTAATTTGAAACATGCATATGGGATTTATATGTTGCGTGCAAGCAAAAGCAACTCGGGGATCACTTGCAATATGTCATTGTCTATCTTCATACTCTTTATTTTCTACATTAAGAGGTAGGACTACAAATGTATTGCCTGCTAGAATAGATATTTGGGTAGGTCCACAACCTAAGGTCAATTTAAACAAGTTTCATTGTAATTGTATGTGGAAAATGTCAAAAAATATGGAAATAATAAAAAGGTTACAATTATTCATGTCAGTGCATAGGTATATGTATTTCCTTATGGTGTAAATTGAAAGAGTTGGGCAAGGGGCTGATGTGATGACACACATACATAGGAAAACACACTTTAACATAATATTTTTGAAAATGGGCTACGATAAGTCACATTTATTATTATCCAAGGACACAGTCATATAGATGATTAGTTTATTTATTTATTCAATATGACAGTTCTCCCTTTGAAAATAAAAAAAGTTAAACTGACCACAAAATTACCTTCAAATTTTTTTTTTTTAAGGAACGGATACATACATGTACATGAATACTTTGTTTTATTTAAAGCACTTACAGAAGATAAATAATGAGAACCTCCCTTCCTCAGGTGAATTGTTAAATTGAACTGTCTAGTTATCAGTAATACTGAGTATATCCCTAATGTTGCTACTGCAGGTGACCCCAGACACATCATTTAGTTTAATGGTGCTGCATTAATACAAAGTGTTTTATTTTTAAATAATGTTTGAAGTGATGAAATTGCAAAAAAAATTAATACAGATCTTCCTTCTTTCTTTAATACCTAATAAAGACATGAGCTTCAACTATAACTAAAGCAAGTGTTTTATAATAATTATATAATATGCTCTCAAAGTATTTCTATTTTTCTGTCTATCTCTCTGTGTATCTGGGGCATTGTAAAACAGTTATTTTCTAGCAAGACAACTATACTTTCTCATTATCTATTTAGAATGATGGCACTAATATTTGAAGAGGTTTTATGTCACCATTCCTATCAAATCTACTTAACCAGAGTTTAAACACAACCATGTTTCATATACGTAGAGAGTGTCACACTTTTTATTGAACACAGAGATTGACACATACATTGTAATGTTGATAGAATTGTTCAAAAAAAGTTAGTTAACTTCATTTTCCTGTTAGAAAAAAAACACTTGTATTGATGATGACCTTTCTGTTCCAGATTTCCCCTGATGACGTAGAGAAGCTGCTCCAGAGAGACATTCCCTCTGTCACACTGTGGGGGGAGGAGTTTGATAAATTCCCCTTCCCTCCCCGAGAGATTCCAGACCCTGACACGCCACTGGTCTGTTCTGTCTTTATTATTTCATAATCAGCTGTACTGAAAACTTAATGATCTAGTTTCATGTGGACTTTGTCTTTTTATTTGCAGAGTGTTTTGGCCATGTTTGAAGATCTTGGATTTAATTCTCGATGGAGGATAAGAAAAGATACTCTAGTTAGGTAAGAATCTCTATAATGTGTTTTATACCACATTGTACTTGTATCAAAAGAAGTGAATTTGTACATGCAAAAGTAAAACAATGACTGTCTGAGCCAATAACTCTGAAAATATTTTTAGGTCACCTGAGTAAACTCAGGTGACCTATTGCTATCCGTTTTCATCTGTCGTCGTGCCTTAACTTTTGAACATTTTCAGCTTCTTCTCTGCAACCACTCAACCAATTTTAACCAAATTTGGCATAAAGCATCTATGGGTGAAGGGGAACAAAAACTGTGAATTTCATGGTCCCTACCCCCTGGGGCCTGAGGGATGGGGCCAAAACCACTAAAATTAATGCAATCTTTAAAAATCTTCTTTACTCCTGGACATCAAGCAGTCAAATTGTTTGCATGATTGTAATCAGCATTGAGTCCTCTACCAAAATTGTGAAATTTATGGCCCTTGGGTCAGGGGTGCTAGGGCGGGGCTATATAGATTATATTAGATTATATTACAAAATGCATTATTTCTTTGAAAATCTTCTTCTCTGCTCCTGAGCATTTAATAAACAAACCAAATTCATAGTTATGATGAATAAGGCTGCCTCTTCCAAAATTGTGAATTTCATGCCCCCAGGGTAAGGCTTCTTAGGTGCTAGGGTGGGGCTATGTAGATAGTGAAAATGCATTATTTCTTTGAAAATCTTCTTTTCTCCTGGGCATTTAATAAACAAACCAAATACATAATTATGTTAAGTAAGGCTGTGTCTTCCAAAATTGTGAATTTCATAGCCCCGGGGTCAGGGGTTCAGGTGTTAAGGCGGGGCTCTATTATTTATATAGTGAAAATGCATAAATTCTTTGAAAATCTTGTTCTCTGCTCCAGAGTATTAAACAAACTAACCAAGTACATATTTATCTTGCATAAGAACGCCTCTTCCAAAATTGTGATTTTTATGGCCTCAGGATCAGGGGTTCTGAAGTTAGGGTGTGGCTCTATTGAATATATAGTGAAAATACATTAATTATTTAAAAATCTTCTTCTCTGCTTCTGAGCATTAAACTAATGAACTATGTACATAGTTATGATGAGGTAGGATGCCTCTTCCAGATTTGTGAATTTCAGGGCCCCAGGGTCAGGGGTTTTTCGTGTTAGGGCAGGGCTCTAATGATTATATAGTGAAAATGCATGAATTCTTCGAAAACTTTTTCCTTTACTCCTGGGTATTATGCCAATGTTCTAAGTACATATTAATAATAATGAAAGGTGCCTCTTCCAAAATGGTTAATTTCAGGGCCCCTGGTTCAGGGTACTGGAACTGGGGGTTTCTTAGTTTGAAAATAAATTAATGCTTTGATATCTCTTTTTAGGTCACCTGAGTAAACTCAGGTGACCTATTGCTATCTGTTTTCGTCTGTCGTCGTGCGTTATGCGTTAACATTTGAACATTTTCAGCTTCTTCTCTGCAACCACTGAACCAATTTCAACCAAATTTGGCCTAAAGCATCTATGGGTGAAGGGGAACAAAAATTGTGAATTTCATGATCCCTGCCCCCCTGGGGCCTGAGGGGTGGGGCCAAAACCACTAAAATTAATGCAATCTTTTAAAATCTTCTTCTTTACTCCTGGACATCAAGCAGTCAAACTGTTTGCATGATTGTAATCAGCAATGAGTCCTCTACCAAAATTGTGAAATTCATGGCCCTGGGGTCAGGGGTTCTAGTGCTAGGGCGGGGTTAAATAAGTAGGTAGTGAAAATGCATTATTTCTTTGAAAATCTTCTTCTCTGCTCCTGGGTATTAAATAAACCAACTAAGCACATAGTTATGACGAGCAAGAGTGCCACTACCAAAATTGTGAATTTTATGGCCCCAGGGTCAGGGGTTCTGGTGTTAGGGCAGGGCTCTATTGATTATATAGTGAAAATACATTAATTCTTTGAAAATCTTTTCTGCTCCTGGGTATTAAATAAACTAACTAAGTGCATAGTTATGATGAGCAAGAGTGCCTCTACCAAATTTGTGAATTTTATGCCCCCAGGGTCAGAAGTTCTGGTCTAAGGGCGGGGCTTTATTGATTATATAGTGAAAATACATTAATTCTTTGAAAATCATCTTTTCTGCTCCTGGGTATTAGATAAACTAACTAAGTGCATAGTTATGATGAGCAAGAGTGCCTCTACCAAAATTGTGAATTTTATGACCCCAGGGTCAGGGGTTCTGGTGTTAGGGTGGGGCTCTATTGATTATATAGTGAAAATACATTAATTCTTTGAAAATCATCTTTTCTGCTCCTGGGTATTAAATAAACTAACTAAGTGCATAGTTATGATGAGCAAGAGTGCCTCTGCCAAAATAATAAATTTTATGGCCCCAGGGTCAGGGGTTCTAAGTGTTAGGGTGGGACGTATTGATTATATAGTGAAAATACATGAATTCTTTGAAAATCTTCTTCTCTGCTCCTAGGAATTAAATAAACTAACTAAGTACATAGTTATAATGAGCAAGAATGCCTCTTCCAAAATTGTGAACTTTATAGCCGCAGGGTCAGGGGTTCTGGTGTTAGGGTAGGGCTCTATTGATTATATAGTGAAAATACATTAAATCTTTGAAAATTTTCTTCTCTGCTCCAGGGTATTAAGCAGATGAACTACCTATATAGTTATGCTGGACAAGGGCCCATATCTTCCAGAATTGTGAATTTCAAGGCCCCAGGGTCAGGGGTACCATAGAAGGGGGGCTGTACTTATATACTGAAAATGAATGAATGGTTTGAAATCTGCTCCTTGGTATTAATCAAAAATCAAGGCTTAAGGGTCAGGGGTTCATGTGTGGTAGGGGCCCTACTGATTATTGCTGAATATTACTGATTAGTTGAAATGCATTTTTTGTTCCCTTACCCTGCATATGGGTATTAAGTAAACAAACTAAGCAACTGCTAAGTGTATTGTTATTATGATCAATGGTGCCTCTTTCAAAATTGTCAATGCCATAGCATCTGGCTTAAAACATGAATCAAATTCAGTCACTGGAAAGTTGTTGCATAATGCTCAGATGACCTATAAGGCCCATGGGCCTCTTGTTTGGTATTAATCAACCATTTATGATGAAATAAAATTTCCAGAATTTTTGAAATATGTGCCTGCAGGGTCAGTGGTTCCTGTGGGATAGGGTGCACAACTGGTTATAAAGTGGAAATGCATTTTCTCTTTGTTACTCTGATCTACCTCTGGGTATTAAGTAACCAAAGGATAAAGCAAGCTAAGTGTATAGTTATGATAAGCAATGGTGCCTCTTTCAAAATTTTGAATTTCATGGCCTTTGATTTAAAACACAACCAATTCAATTGTTGGAAAGATGTTACATGATACTCAGGTGACCTATAAGGCGCGTGAGCCTCTTGTTTATTTGACAAGAAAGTAAATCATTAACTTCCCAATCCTATGGTGATAGACATGATCCTTTATATTTCTCAGATTTGTGTTGATGGTGAAGAAAGGCTACAGGAACCCTCCATATCACAACTGGACCCACGCCTTCGCTGTTGCACATTTCTGTTACCTCTGTGTCAAGAACCTCAATCTTCAACACAGTCTAGAGTAAGAACCACTGAATATCTTATTGATTTGATTAGGAGTTTATACACAATGAATCCACTCAAAAAATAGTTTGTTTATTTTCAATTGAGGCAATTAAAACTTTTTTTTCCTGATTTGAAAACACAAGGCTTGTGAGACCTTCATGCTCATAAAATATTTGTTTTTATAACAGAATTCTAGATAAGTATCAGTTATGTTCTGTTGATTAAAAGCATGCAGCTTTCTATTAACTGTAAAAAATAAATATTTTAAATATTATTTAATGCAACATATTATATTTTGAAGAATAAAGTTATCAAATAATTCCAACAAGTTAAGTGTATGAAGAGTTGATCTTTCAGTGATATGGAATTGCTAGCTCTATTTGTGTCCAGTCTTGGGCATGATTTAGACCACAGAGGTACAAATAATCAGTACCAAATGTCATCAGTAAGTACTATCAGCCAGCAGGAGCATGGATTATTGGATAAATGAAAATCATATGTGTCATGTATATACAGCAAGTCCATAAACCAAAATGCTTTAAACTCTAGAGATATTTGGGACAGTTGGGAGGAAGACGTGTAACTTTCTGTGTACACATGATGCTATGATTTGCTGTTGGTAGACTGTGGAATGAGATGTCGTAATGAACTGTTTTCCCTCTTTCAGTGATATAGAGCTGTTAGCATTATTTGTGTCGTGCTTGTGTCATGATTTGGATCACCGGGGTACAAATAATCAGTATCAGTTGGCTTCAGTAAGTAATCAGGATTGACAAAGTGGTGTCACATTTATAGCATGTTCATGTACTGTATGTTAATGTCTTAGTTTACACCTCAGTATGCCAGGTTATATGACTAACATGTACAAGCGCTCTTTGTATGTAGCCTGCTATATGAAAATTATTTAAGAAATAAAGTATCGTATTTAAACATCTATCAGATTATAAATACGGGTTGGTCACAAGATCAATTTCCATGAAGCCCTAATGGCCTTTCATTAAATTTGATATCGTACCAACTGCATTTATAGCCCAATAGATGTTTAAAAATGATACCTTATTTCTTATATTTACATTTGTGACATTCGTATTTATATTTGCCTGATTATGACATATTGTGTGAAATGTTTTATTTTTCAAACTCAATGGCACGTATGTAATCCATTGATTATGGGTTGATGCTTTATGACGTCACTGAGAATTTACATCAAACATTTTTGACATGAGGAACCTGTATCTAGACAGTTACTGTAAATCACTTTTTATTCGCGATAACTTTATTTTCGCGTAATTACGCGAGGAGGTATGCTCGCGAAAATTTCATTCTCACATATAATAGAATTCCTTAAGATTATATAAAGCAATGACCACAATTCGTGAAAATTTTGTCTCGCTAAGAAAGAGTCAGTGACTATCTCGCAAAAATAAGGTGTCGCGAAAATTGAGTGATCTACAGTATTGCAATAAACACATTACTTTCAATAGGTAAAGTAGAAAATTTGCAAATATAAATACTCATATGTACATAGGATCTCCAGTGGTTGTAATTGGATATGAGTTTGATGTAACAAGATGTATATTTTCTATGTTAGAGCTTCTGGCTCAACTAGTTGGATAAAATTGTATCCAGTCACAAATCATGAGAGATTCTTTTAATCACACGCTTTATACATAAATTAAACAATGTGTATTTGAATCCACATTATTTTCATCACTTTCACACAAAACCCATTGTTACATCAAAGTAGTACTCGGATATGGAAAAAAAATATCCAATGAGTGGTAAAGATTGTATAAAATGATAAACATGATAAATATATAAATGTTCCATTACAAATCAGTAATGTGCATTGATTTTGAATAAAGAAGTAAAGCTGATGTTTGCTCAGTAAAGGGAACGGGTTTAGTTTATATTCTCTGCATGTATTTACAAAGTAACAAAAAGAAAAATATATAGTTTACATTACATATAATATTGTATTTACCAGGTATAAGAGAAAGGTTTCATGATTTAGAGTAGTTCTGTAAAAGAATTATATTCTTCATTTGATTACCCAAATTTAAATTCTGTAAAAGAATTACATGTATATTCTTCATTTGATTACCCAAATTTAAAGTTTTATTGCAATTATTTGGTTGATTATTGTTTCATGAAATATATATGTACATGTGTGATTGATTTTAGAAATCTGTGCTGGCTGCCCTGTACAGCTCTGAGGGATCCGTAATGGAGGTACTGTTCTGTTTGTGTTGTTTTATGAAGCAGAAGAAGCTATAACATATGGCTCTATAAGAATTCTTTCACACATAAGTAGATTTCGTAAGTTAATGAGATTGCATGATTGATTATGAAATTGATTTGAAATACATGTATTATCTAAAACAAGACTTGGAATCTGTTAAATGATTTTTCAGAGACACCATTTTGCCCAGACTATGTGTATAGTGAACACGGAGGGCTGTAATATATTTGAGAACTTGAGTAGTAAGGATTACACCTCAGTGTTAGATCTTGTCAGGGACATCATTCTGGCCACAGATCTCTCTCACCACTTAAAGATCATGAATAGTCTTAAAGAAATGGCTAAAGGTAAATATAAACTCTACCACTTAAAGATCATGAATAGTCTCAAATAAACTCTACCACTTAAAGATCATGAATAGTCTCAAAGAAATGGCTAAAGGTAAATATAAACTCTACCACTTAAAGATCATGAATAGTCTCAAAGAAATGGCTAAAGGTAAATATAAACTCTACCACTTAAAGATCATGAATAGTCTCAAATAAACTCTACCACTTAAAGATCATGAATACTGTAAATCACTTTTTATTTGCGCGAACTTTATTTCCGCGTAATTACGCGAGACAATGCATTCGCGAAAATTGAATTCTCGCGTATAAAAGTATTCCATACGATTATATAGAGGAATAACAACTATTCGTGAAAATTATGTCTCGCTTACAAAGAGTCAATGACAATCTCGCAAAAATAAGGTGTCGCGAAAATTTAGTGATCTACAGTAGTCTTAAAGAAATGGCTAAAGGTAATATAAACTCTATCATTTAAAGATCATGAATAGTCTCAAAGAAATGTCTATAGGTAAATATAATCTCTACCACTTAAAGATCATGAATAGTCTCAAAGAAATGGCTAAAGGTAATTATAAACTCTACCACTTAAAGCTGAACACTACTTATAAAAAGGCATAGTCCACCATATTTCCTGTTCAATGACGCTATCCCCTACAACCCTTATATAAGGAGCAGATCACTTAAAGTTAAATGTACATGTATTTCGCTGTAGAGGTCCCACTAGTGTAGACATATACTGTAAACGTATTACATTTGGTGGTGTATTCTTTTTAGCGCTTTTGGCAGAAAGATACTTCCGCTAATTCAAGTACATCGCTAAATTTCTTAAACATTGATACATGAATAAGAACATAAAGAAATGCGTTAAATCAAATCTACGCTAACTTGTTTAAAAATCTTTTTCCGCTAAATATCGTACACGCTAAATATAATACATTTACAGTATCTCACACTGCCTTGCTATTCGGTTGTGATGATTTTATCAAATTTTACGCATTTTTTCAAAACAGGAAAAAACTATCATGAAAAATACAAGTGAATACATCATTTACAAACAGAAAATGCACATAAAAACATGGAATAAACTCAAAATATCTAAGACCACAAAAGTAATACTACATGAGTGTCAAGTGGTCAATCAGGTGTAACAGAATCAAAGGGTTTATATACCCGTCTGATGGTGCCTATTTATGAGAAGTGTTCAGCTTTAATGAGCATGAATAGTCTCAAAGGTATGGCTAAAGGCAAATGCAGTTGAACTTTGGTATCTCAAACTCTGATATCTCAAATACCATGGATACGTGGAAGTCCCAACCACATATTCTTTAAGTTTTTTACCCTCGATATCTCGAATCCTTGGATATCTCAAAGTTTTTTTCTCAACCCCATCAGGTTCAAGATAACTATGTTTGACTTTATTAATTTCTCACTCAGCATATCATGAATAGTCTCATAAGATACAGCTGAAGGTACATAATTATAAACTCTCTCACACCATTAAAATATGATGAATAGTCCTAAGGACTACTAAAGGGAAATGACTTTCATCGCCATCTAAAAATCATGAATGCTTTCAAAGAAATGGGTAATTGTAGTAAATGTAATCACTCTCCCTCACCACCCAAAACTCATGACTGACCCTCAGCAAATTAGCTTTATTTAATGATGTTGAGGATATAATATGGAGATTCAATGTTTTGTTTTGTTGAATTTTGGAAGCAGTAACTGAAAGAAGTGAGGGAGGGAATTCTGTGTATATTGATTGATGTGACTTTCCTTTTATTTTTAGTTGGCTACGATAATAAGAATGAGAGACATCACTCCTTGCTGCTCTGTTTACTTATGACCGCTTCAGATTTGTCAGACCAAACCAAGCCATGGGACAACACTAAACATGTAGCGGTAAGTAAAGTTAGTGGCTCAGATGGGCCAAAGGCTCAAGTGAGATTTTCTGGTCAAGTGTTTTTCTTCAGTAATAGGGTTACAAGAGTGCTTTAATCTTCAGATTTTAAGTTTCACTTCCTAGTTCATAAGCATTTTAAAGATGATTGAAATTTGGACTAGAAGCTAAGGATGCATCACAATGTTAGAGTCAGTAACAGCATAATTATTTATATTTTAAGTAAAGACCCATGATGCCATTATGTCAGTGTTGTAATTGTCAGGATTTTTACCATACAGGCTTTGATCTACAGGGAGTTTTTCTCCCAGGGAGATATGGAGAAGTCCCTGGGCCAGAAGCCAGCAGAAATGATGGACAGAGAACGAGCCAGGATTCCAGACCTTCAGATTGGATTCTTGGATCACATAGCTCTCCCCGTGTACAAGTCAGTAAAAAAAAAGATAACAATCATATACTAAATAGAATTATTTTGGGCGAGAAGTAAAAAGATTTCCTCTTGTTCATTTGTCTAAGCAATTTTGTCTGAACTATAACCTTGTAATAGAGAAGATCTGACCTCAACCTAAGAATTAAAATTTTAGCCAACTCTATAATAAGGAGAATCATTCAAAGTTTGTACATCATACATAGATTCCTTTTGACCTGGTTATGTGTTTTAACCTTGGTTGGAGTTGGTCCCAATCATTGGATCAAATTCAAATGTCATTTACAGGAGAATATGATCATAGCTTGTGATCCAGAACATCAGAAGCACATACTTATAAAATAAAAATAAAGTATATGATCTGAGAGTATGTATTGGCCTTGACCTAAGGTCATTCAAGTAAGATCAAGGTCACTGGCAAAAGAGTGTTTCAAAATGTTTTATATGTGTCTTATCTATTTTCTCCAGTTGGAAGTTGATAGTTGACATAAAGAAAACTGAAAGGGCACTGAAAGTACCCGCCATTCAGTAGACTGAATGATAACTGAAAGATCACAGAAAAGTCACTGGCAAAGGTTCTTTCAGTGAGCATTCAGTTACCATTCCATCCACTGAGTGGTATAATTTCATCCTTTGGTCACTACATTTAGTTGATTTTGTTTATTGCAGGTATGAGATTCAAAATTTTGTTCTTTTTAGGTTGTTGGCTGATTTGTTTCCTGCATCAGAGATTGTGAGGGACACAGTGGTCGACAATCGCAGACACTGGGAGAAGATCTGTGCCCTGATTAAGATTCGGCGCGGGGGCAGCTGTGAGCAGATGAGTTACGACCAGATACTGGCCCTGGAGGAGGAGGAAGCTAATGCAGAAATAGAGAATTATAATCTACAGAACCAAAAACAGAACGGACGGTGACAGCATTTATCAGGATTCACTTAGTGGATAGAGAAACCTCTCAGCTACTGTTCTGTTACAGGGACTATAATTACATTACAAATTCACAAACGTGACAAAAGATATTCATTTTGTCATGATTTATAGCATTTGGCTGTTAGTTTAAAACGTGCTTGCATTAAGAAGCAGAATGTGAGGCTATCACTACAAGTTTATTTAAGAAATCCATATAGAAAGTTGCCATGGGGCCAAAAAGGGGGAAATTGTTGTTCAGCTTAGTAGGGTTACATTGGCAGAAAATACATCTTCTTGTTTTAGTCAGTATGTAGAAGAAGTGATAACATAAAACATATCATGGGCATAGTTAGCTGTTACTCAACAGCTCCAGGAAAGTAAGTATCTATCATATCGCATGGTTTTATTTGTCTTGCATTTGATTGCATTTTCTTTGAATGGCACTGTTAAATGGCGCATTCCATGTTTGAACTCATTAGGCTGGGATCTATCATCTGAAATTTAAGAATTTTGTTTAACACCTTAGTTTTGTTAATTTTTATCACCAAATGTTAACTGTTTTGTTATAGATATTATCTTTTCTTTGATGTTTTTTAGAAACTTTTTTATTTTTCATAAGAAAATAAAACAAAACCAACTACCTGCGTTATAATTTTTTCCAAGTACATTTTCTGTGTTTAGTGTATTAAATTGTGATATATTTAAGTTATGCAAAACAGGAGGTTTTAAGCTACGCAACCATAAATAGAAACGTATACCTGTACAAAGTAATCCATTATTTGTGTGCAGTATTAAGTCTTACAAAATGGGTTTTCATGTGTGGATTTTATATTGTGTAGTCAACCACCAATTCCTTCTGAGGGGTAAATTTTATTTGTTTTGTTATTCCCTCTTGTGTACTATTTTATTTAAATCCATTTTATATTGTTTACCCGTTATAATTTTATGAATGGTTTATTATGTATTTTAAAGATTAACTATATATTTGCATGGCCTATTGAGATATCACAGAATGTTGCTGTTTAGACATATTAATGTAAATATTTTATTAAAAGAATTGAATTTTAACAAATTTGTTATTATAATATGATATAAATAATGTATAGTTATGTGTATGTCCTGATCAAGTCATTGATATTAAACATGTGGTTGAAAACATATTTATTTATTAAGGAAGTTATTTAAATATCAGTCATCAGAATATGGAGTCACTTAAAAAAAAAATACCACCAGTCATCCACAATACCACTTCTTACTGTGATGTCATTCCTAACTGGGTTATATCTAATTTTAGAATCTGATTGTACAGGATATTAAATGTTGGAAGACTTTTTCTGTGTAACCGGGAAGAATTTACATCTGAATCTTGATATTATTGATTTTTTAAATTTATTTTTATTATTTAAATACTCTTGAAGCTGTGCATGTATCCTGAAATCCTTTTTCTTATTGGAAAGAATCAAGAATCCATGTTAAAGATTTGCTGCTGTGAATGATATTTATTCTACATAATAATTAACAAGCTTATTGTTTTTGCACAGTGTTCTACATACAATGAAATACAATATTTGAGTTAAACTAAATTGCCATTGATGTTTGAGTTTTTAATTTATTAATGTTAAGTTCCTGTATGTTTTGTTAAAGGAATGTTTCTCTTCCTGATGTTACAAATTAAAATAAATTTTGAAGAACTTAAATTGTTCTCTTGTTTTACTTTCGCATAAAGTGAACTGCCACAGCATAATCTGTTTACTTAATTTAGCTCATCCAAGCTTTTCTGATCACCCATTGTCTGTGTTCTGTCTGAATGGAAGTTTAGATTTAGATGAAGTCTCATGTCTTCTTCCAATGGGAGATAATCAAGAAAAGGCAAAAATTGGGTGGAGTAATTTAAAAAAAATATTGGGCCAGAAAAAGTGAAACAGATGAAAACTACATGAAGTAGTGTAGATATTAAATAAATCAAGTCATGGCTCCTAAGGGGAAAGGTGGGGCCACAGTAGAGAATCCATTAAAAATTGAGCAAAATTGTTCATCTTTTTCTCAAGAACTACTGGATCAGAAAAGGTGAAACTTTTTTGAAAACTATACGGATAGATTATAAATTGACCAAGTCTTGTCTTCTAGGGTTAGAGTGGTCCGCAATAGAGAAAAATTTACAAGGGTGAAAATCTTGGAAGAATGGCAGGACCAAAATGACTCGGGTGAACGAAGTGGCTCATGGGCCTCTTTTGAGATCATGTGGATTTAGGCAAATGACTGTCCACTTCTCTAAAGAGAATACAGCCCAAAGGCCACCTTTCAGAGAGTACGTTGGTTATTGCGCTAGATAAAGATATAATGGAGAAAAAAAATATTGAAAAATTAAAAATTACTGTAAGATTTGTGAATGTCTTGACTCGGCATGTTCAATATTGGTTTCCTTAAACCAACAGATCTAGAGCAACATAGGTAATGCATTGTAAATGTGAATGTATTGAGCGTGTTACTTTGCAAATTCCAAGATAATTTTACATTATTTTAAATTGTATAAAATTTCATTTTAACCAAATATTGGCGTTTTGAAAAGTCCATATAGAGAGTATGTTGGTTATGTGCACATGTTGATAACAAAGATTTAGAAAAAATATATATATATATATATATATATATATATATTATATATATATATATATATATATATATATATATATATATATAATTTAAGAAAAATCCAGTGTTTTGGTTCAGTAAATATATCCAACAGATCAGAAATCACAAACATAGAAAATCATTGTAAATGTGAATGTATTGAGCGTGTTAATTACTTTGCAAATTCAAGATAATTTTACGTTATTTTGTATAAAATTTCATTTTAACCAAATATTGATATTTTAATAATTAACAACCCTTAAATGATGTCATGGCGTTTTGAAAAGTCCATATACCTGTATGCTGACCTATATATCCCGATTGTGCATATATATATATATATATATATATATATATATATATATATCACATATTCAATTGTATGTATCATAAAATTGTTTTATTATACACCTTGATTTTTTTTTATTAGACGTGTTAGATAACCTGTTATGTCGCATCAAGTAGAACGAGCTGCGCAATTTCTAGTACGTAGTATTCCTAAGCAGTCTGGTAACCTAGTTAATTTTAAAGCAGTGTATTTAACATGGCAAGTTATGTAGGGATCGGTTGTAAGTCTGGGACTTCCCTGGAAGGACTGGACCTCTGTTGTGTGGAATTTACTGGAGATCGGGATACCGATGTTTGGGGGTACCGCATCGTTAAAGTGGAAACTGTACCGTATGACCAGGAATGGACTTCACGACTAGCAGGTGCGCGAGATCTGAGTGGAGAGGCACTTATACGACTGCACTCCGAGTATGGACATCTGATAGGAAAAATGATCAAGAAATTCAAAGAGAAGAACGATCTTGATGTCGAGTTCGTTTCCTCTGATGGACATACGATTTTTCACAATCCGGCACAGAGTTACACATTTCAGCTAGGGGACGGGGAAACAGTGTCTCGGTATTTAGATTGTCCGTTTGTCTGTAACTTTAGGAACAAGGACGTAGCGTTTGGTGGTCAGGGGGCGCCTTTTGTTCCGTGTGGAGAGAAGTATCTTTTCCAGGCCTACGATATCTGTATAAATCTTGGTGGAATTGCAAACATTGGTGTACATGGTAATAAAGGTTATGACATTTCACCCTGCAACTATGTGTTGAACAAATTAGCATCTTGCCACGATGTGTCCTTGAACTATGACCCAGATGGAAGGATTGCAAGTCAAGGTCATGTGCTGAAAAATGTGTTAGAAAAACTAGATTTACAGTCTTTTTACAGGAAGCCTCCTCCAAAGTCGCTCAATGTGAAATGGATAGATAAAAACATCCTGCCTATCTTAGATGTAAGTACTGCATTCTCAGTTCATTATTCACTGACACACAAAACGACAGAAATGTCGATCAATCAGTGCGACCTTCTCAGTGAAGGCCATGCTGATTCACCGAATTTACTAAACTGTTTTATATACTTATCAAAAAAATAAATGATTGAAGGTATAATAGCTTTCAACTTTTAGTGTATTACGATTTTTTTAGACGACGTCGTACAAAATTCCAGATCTGATGAGAACATTTGTGGAGCACGTGTCTTGTAAACTGGTGGAGGCATGTCAGGATGTCCAGTCTATTCCGGACAAACGGACACCGACCAAGAAGATGACCGTCTTACTGACCGGGGGTGGGGCCTTCAACAAAACGCTAGTAGACGTGTTCCGAAGGAAGTTAGAAAAACTCGGAACACACCTGGTGTCATCCGATAAAGACACGGTCTGTTTCAAGGACTCATTGATATTTGCCTTTCTGGGACTGAAGTGTATATTTGGTGAACCTAACGTGTGTAAGGAGGTGACGGGTGGGGTATCGGACTCTGTGTCGGGCAGTATACACCTACCCGTATCCACGGCTAACGATTATTGTCTGACGTATTTTCGAAAGAAAAAGTCGATCATTTAGTTTTGCGTTCGAAACGATTTTTCCTATCAGTGTTAAGCAAAAAAAAAAAAAGGAAAATCAAACCAGCTTAAATGGATAGTTTTAACTTAGCTAAAGAGATAATGTATTTATCAATGATATACAAGTGCCACGATTTATTGTTCCCTGTTTAAGTATAACGTTTAAAAGCGGTAGAAGGGGGTATATTTGTTAAAATAAAAGTAAGGGAGCCACCTGTAGGGACGGGGCGAAGAGATAGAAATGTTATCTTAAAGATTAAACATACGACGGCCTTAGGTAAATTCTAGTGACTGTCTGAATCATTTGTCAAAAGTAAAATTAATGGATGCATTTTCAATAACAATGATATCTCGTATATCCTTCAAGAAATCTTTACAGGTGCACAATGCATTTCGTTCTTACTTTAAGTTTTAGACATATATATAGGTTTATTCACCAATCAAGGGCCCTCTGGGGGCATGAACAAATTATTACAATATGATTACACTGATTACAATTGTATATTATAGGTGTATATAATGTAATATGACTAGTGATTAAGTTTGACATTGAGAAGTGCAACACCACAAGATGTATCATCATGAAAATGTAGGATTTGTTACATATTCACAGTACAGTCTCACACTGGATCAAAAGTATAGAAAACCGTAGGATAATAATAAAAAAAAATCATCGATTGCGTAACGATAACGATTTCATGTACATTTGTACGAAAGATCGATATCCAGAATTCGTCTTCAGTAGATGCTTTAGTTAATTAAAAAAAACAACTTTTTTCCCAAAATTTTCCAAAACATAAATAATGGATGTATATTTGTATAAAGACGTTGAAAATGAATCTTAATATGTGCATGTAGTCTTTTTTTTTTCAAATGTCCTTTTTTAACTTTTATTACCTGTCAAACACTTGATAATTGTACTCTTAAGTAGTACTAGCTCATGATTATGTTGTATGCATGTTCAAGGCCAGACTTCTCAGCCTTGTGTAAAATTATGTCACATAAATGATATATAAATATATGCTTTCTGTCTTAGTCTTGCATTGATTTTATAATGATTAAAGTCAGCCGTAAGTGTTTATCAGTTTATGTGGTATTTAAAAAAGAAATATTCAGTCCGCTATGCATGACGTCGCACTTGACCTAATTTAAATGTATGAAGATAACGATTGAAATCATGGCAAGTTACGTGGGGATCGGTTGTATGTCTGGGTCCTCTCTGGACGGACTAGACATCTGTTGTGTGGAGTTTACGGGGGACCGAGAAACTGACGTCTGGGGGTACCGCATCGTGAAAGCGGACACTCTGCCGTACGACCGGGAATGGACTTCACGACTAGCCGGTGCGCGAAATCTGAGTGGCGAGGCGTTGATACGACTTCATGTTGAATACGGACACTTACTCGGGAAATCAATCAAGAAATACATTGATGATCATTCTCTTAATGTAGAGTTCGTTTCCTCTCATGGACATACGATTTTTCACAATCCAGCACAAAGTTACACTTTTCAGCTAGGGGACGGTGAAACAGTGTCTCGGTATTTAGATTGTCCGTTTGTCTGTAACTTCAGGAACAAGGACGTAGCGTTTGGTGGTCAGGGGGCGCCTTTTGTTCCGTGTGGAGAGAAGTATCTTTTCCAGGCCTACGATATCTGTATAAATCTTGGTGGAATCGCAAATATTGGTGTACATGGCAGTAAAGGTTATGACATTTCACCCTGTAACTATGTAATGAACAAATTAGCAAGTGATCATGATCCTTCCTTGACCTTTGACCCAGATGGAAGGATTGCAAGTCAAGGTCAAATTTTAAATAATGTGTTGGAGAAATTAGATTCACTGCCGTTTTATCTGCAACCTCCTCCAAAGTCACTTGGTGCGGAGTGGATAGAAGAAAACGTTCTTCCTATTTTAGATGCAAGTACATTTAGTGACAAATTGTAGATAAATATAACAGTCCCTCATGATCTCTTGGGTAGTATCACATCGATAGAAATTAAGCTGTGTTACTTATGGTCATTTGATAGACACACTTTAATATTTAAAAGAATTATAGTAATTAAAATCAAGGGCTTGGTTTTTTTCTCTTTCCGTGGTTAAATTTTTTTACTGTGTTAGGGTTCATTTGTATATTGTTTTTTTTTTCAATTTCCAGACGACGACCTACAAAATTCCTGACCTTATGCGAACATTTGTCGAACACGTGGCTTGTAAACTGGCGGAGGCATGTCAATCAGCGAAGTTAATGGCGGGCAAACAACCTTCTGCCAAAACGATGACCGTCTTACTGACAGGGGGAGGGGCCTTCAACAAAACGCTGGTGAAGATATTCAGAGGAAAGCTAGAAAAACTTAAAATGCTGCTGAATTCTTCTGATAAAGACACAATCTGTTTTAAAGAAGCGTTAGTGTTTGCCTTTTTAGGATTGAGGTGTATATTCGGTGAACCTAACGTGTTTAAGGAGGTGACGGGTGGGGCATCGGACTCTGTGTCGGGCAGTATACACCTACCCGTATCCACGGCTAACGATTATTGCCTGACGTACTTCCAAAAGAAAAAGACAATAATATAATAATATTAGTTCGACATCAATGTATAACCATTTCCTTAACGTCTGGTACTACCTTCTAAAAGCAGAATTTGGTGAACAGTGGACGTCATATATATAAAAAAAATTCTTGAAATGGTAATAAAAAATACATGTACTTTTAAATTATCACTTCGAAAAAAATGTCATTAAAGAAGAGTACCTTGCACCAAAACATCGATAATGTTTCAAACAAGAACACGTCTGCAATTGAAGGACTACCTTATTACGTAATCATGAACGTGACATTTACATCCGTCCTGTATTCCGGAAATTATTTTTTAAATATTCACTTGTATAATTCTGTGATTCTCAATCGTAGTAATATTAATAATATTTCAATTTCTATTAAAAGTTTATAAAGATTTTGTTATCTGAATGGAAAATTACTGATAATTTATTTGGTTGAACAGAACAAGCAAAAAGAGTTCACACATGTAACTGTGCACAAAGCTCAATCTCCATTAACCATGTACTAAGAATAGGTCAATCTCCATGAACCATGTACTAAGAATAGGTCAATCTCCATGAACCATGTACTAAGAATAGGTCAATCGCCACTAACCATGTACTAAGAATAGGTCAATCTCCATGAACCATGTACTAAGAATAGGTCAATCGTCACTAAACATGTACTAAGAATAGGTCAATCTCCATGAACCATGTACTAAGAATAGGTCAATCGCCATGAACCATGTACTAAGAATAGGTCAATCGCCACTAAACATGTACTAAGAATAGGTCAATCTCCATGAACCATGTACTAAGAATAGGTCAATCGCCACTAAACATGTACTAAGAATAGGTCAATCGTCATGAACCATGTACTAAGAATAGGTCAATCTCCATGAACCATGTACTAAGAATAGGTCAATCGCCACTAAACATGTACTAAGAATAGGTCAATCTCCATGAACCATGTACTAAGAATAGGTCAATCGCCACTAAACATGTACTAAGAATAGGTCAATCTCCATGAACCATGTACTAAGAATAGGTCAATCGCCATGAACCATGTACTAAGAATAGGTCAATCTCCATGAACCATGTACTAAGAATAGGTCAATCGCCACTAAACATGTACTAAGAATAGGTCAATCGCCACTAAACATGTACTAAGAATAGGTCAATCTCCATGAACCATGTACTAAGAATAGGTCAATCGCCACTAAACATACTAAGAATAGGTCAATCTCCATGAACCATGTACTAAGAATAGGTCAATCGCCACTAAACATGTACTAAGAATAGGTCAATCTCCATGAACCATGTACTAAGAATAGGTCAATCGCCACTAAACATGTACTAAGAATCGGTCAATCTCCATGAACCATGTACTAAGAATAGGTCAATCGCCACTAAACATGTACTAAGAATAGGTCAATCTCCATGAACCATGTACTAAGAATAGGTCAATCGCCACTAAACATGTACTAAGAATAGGTCAATCGCCACTAAACATGTACTAAGAATAGGTCAATCTCCATGAACCATGTACTAAGAATAGGTCAATCGCCACTAAACATGTACTAAGAATAGGTCAATCTCCATGAACCATGTACTAAGAATAGGTCAATCGCCACTAAACATGTACTAAGAATAGGTCAATCTCCATGAACCATGTACCAAGAATAGGTCAATCGCCACTAAACATGTACTAAGAATCGGTCAATCTCCATGAACCATGTACTAAGAATAGGTCAATCGCCACTAAACATGTACTAAGAATAGGTCAATCTCCATGAACCATGTACTAAGAATAGGTCAATCGCCACTAAACATGTACTAAGAATAGGTCAATCGTCATGAACCATGTACTAAGAATAGGTCAATCACCACTAAACATGTACTAAGAATAGGTCAATCTCCATGAACCATGTACTAAGAATAGGTCAATCGTCACTAAACATGTACTAAGAATAGGTCAATTGCCACTAACCATGTACTAAGAATAGGTCAATCTCCATGAACCATGTACTAAGAATAGGTCTATCATCACTAAACATGTACTAAGAATAGGTCAATCTCCATGAACCATGTACTAAGAATAGGTCAATCGCCACTAAACATGTACTAAGAATAGGTCAATCGCCACTAAACATGTACTAAGAATAGGTCAATCTCCTTGAACCATGTACTAAGAATAGGTCAATCGCCACTAAACATGTACTAAGAATAGGTCAATCGTCATGAACCATGTACTAAGAATAGGTCAATCTCCATGAACCATGTACTAAGAATAGGTCAATCGCCACTAAACATGTACTAAGAATAGGTCAATCTCCATGAACCATGTACTAAGAATAGGTCAATCGCCACTAAACATGTACTAAGAATAGGTCAATCTCCATGAACCATGTACTAAGAATAGGTCAATCGCCATGAACCATGTACTAAGAATAGGTCAATCTCCATGAACCATGTACTAAGAATAGGTCAATCGCCACTAAACATGTACTAAGAATAGGTCAATCGCCACTAAACATGTACTAAGAATAGGTCAATCTCCATGAACCATGTACTAAGAATAGGTCAATCGCCACTAAACATGTACTAAGAATAGGTCAATCTCCATGAACCATGTACTAAGAATAGGTCAATCGCCACTAAACATGTACTAAGAATAGGTCAATCTCCATGAACCATGTACTAAGAATAGGTCAATCGCCACTAAACATGTACTAAGAATCGGTCAATCTCCATGAACCATGTACTAAGAATAGGTCAATCGCCACTAAACATGTACTAAGAATAGGTCAATCTCCATGAACCATGTACTAAGAATAGGTCAATCGCCACTAAACATGTACTAAGAATAGGTCAATCTCCATGAACCATGTACTAAGAATAGGTCAATCGCCACTAAACATGTACTAAGAAAAGGTCAATCGCCACTAAACATGTACTAAGAATAGGTCAATCGCCACTAACCATGTACTAAGAATAGGTCAATCTCCATGAACCATGTACTAAGAATAGGTCAATCGCCACTAAACATGTACTAAGAAAAGGTCAATCGCCACTAAACATGTACTAAGAATAGGTCAATCTCCATGAACCATGTACTAAGAATAGGTCAATCGCCACTAAACATGTACTAAGAATAGGTCAATCGTCATGAACCATGTACTAAGAATAGGTCAATCGTCATGAACCATGTACTAAGAATAGGTCAATCTCCATGAACCATGTACTAAGAATAGGTCAATCGCCACTAAACATGTACTAAGAAAAGGTCAATCGCCACTAAACATGTACTAAGAATAGGTCAATCTCCATGAACCATGTACTAGGAATAGGTCAATCGCCACTAAACATGTACTAAGAATAGGTCAATCGTCATGAACCATGTACTAAGAATAGGTCAATCGTCATGAACCATGTACTAAAAATAGGTCAATCGCCACTAAACATGTACTAAGAATAGGTCAATCGCCACTAAACATGTACTAAGAAAAGGTCAATCGCCATTGACCATGTACTAAGGATAGGTCAATCGCCATTAACCATGTACTAAAAATAGGTCTAAAGCTTACAATTCATACGCATGCTCCTTATCTTTTGAGATCAGCTGACACTATATACACCTTCGATTTATTTATCTATTTTTATTGATTTAAGACAGTAATATTATGTTATTATGTATTATATTAATATTATTATGTAATATGCATTCCGCGATTTGATTTTTATTGGAGATTGGTCATTGTTCGTTATCTTTGCCTTTTCTATTTCATGCAAGGAAATGATTCAGAGTGTTTTTACCAAAGAGTAAAAAAAAAGCAAAAGTGGAGAAACACACGAAATCTAAAATAGGAAAATATCAGGATTTTCTACTTTTATTTAGAACTTTTCATGATTCTATTTCAGGAAGACTGCTTATCCCTAAAAAAAAAAACTTCCTCAAATATGTCTGGGTTTGTGGTAAAATCTCCAGAATCCACCATTTACAATGATTGCGCTGAACCATATTTTGCAAACATTGTGTTGTACTCCCTTTTTAGCTACCTTAAGCCAATCCCGCAAGTGAGCTTACAGGAGTATCTGCCAGATTAAAGAGCGCCCGGCGTCTGTCTGTCCGTCGTCTATAAACTTTTCACAGTTTCGACTCCAACTTGCCACAAAGCGTTTTCGGATAAAGGATATTTAAGTTTGTTCACATGAAATGCTAAGCTCTATTTCAAGGGGAGATAATTTTGAATTTGTTTGGTAACACCTTTTAAAAATCCTTTTCTCTAGAACCACTTGGAAAGAAAGATTGCAAATGAGCATATCCTTATTTTCTTTCGTAAGTGATGATAAACTCCGGATAACACTGATCAACAGCATACACCACGAATTCCCGGAATAACCACTGTCCGTCTCCAATGACGCTGTCGAACCGGTCATGCATATCGACACAGTCGTCACGCCGACAACCGGAACTAGTGCATGGGGGGCGTCTGTACTTTTTGGGGTTTGGGTCCAGACAAATGTACGATTTTCCAAGCAACATCCGCATCAAAAGCATTTTCTTCGTTCCAGGAGTTCTGTTGGTTTTGGCGTCTGAAAGTGTACCATATTTTTCCATTATTTAGAAATACTCTAAGGCTATCTTTAAAATAATGTTTATATGCCCTTTGCCGACTCTGGGTAAAAATATTAGAGGGGACATTTTTTAAAGATGGTCCTAAAATTAATTGTTTTATTCATTTGTTTAGAAAAATATAATTACATATGTATTATCCATTCTACATCTTACTTTTTGCACGTTATATCTACATTGTTCAAAATGGCAATAAACTGAGTTTTCGTCATTTTAATCCTTCAAGGTCTATACTTTGCTGAAGTGTTACTAAATTACCATGCCCAGGCCTTTAATTGAACTCGAATTGTACTCACCTACGTATTGGTCCGCTTTTGTAGAACTCTCAGCCCCATAAATTCCCATACCAAACATAGCTTTATCACTGCTCATTCTGAAGTCCAGGCCTTGATGAATAATAGTCTGTAAAACTTCTGGTTTGGTCCCATGAAAAAGGTAATGCTCATTAATTTCTGGGAAGATTTCTTCTTTAAGGGGTTTTGTTAACTTTGTATAGGTATCTATTGGTCCTCTACACTGCATCGGCATGCCTGTGGGCAAAACATCCTCAATTTTTGGAAAATGATACGTTTCATCATCCGAGAGAGCACGGAAAAATTCCTGACGCTTGATGGCGTATTTTGCGAAAAGTCCTAGATTTTCTATCCTTTCTACCTTATGGATCTTGAGGGACGTGTGAGACAAACCCACCGCATCTCGTCCTTGACCTACATTTTCTTTCTGCCACGTGCTGTGAACGAGACTCCTGACTGCAGCGTCAGTATCTCTATCTACCGGGACCACCATCGGCTGACGATTGGCCTGGAATAATTTAAATACCTCCGGCATAGGGCGACACTTCGGAAAATGTGACCAATATGGCGGAGTTTGGGTGTACTCGTGGGCAAGACTAGACCAAAACTCGGGCGAACATTTAAGCTGGTCAGAAGTGTTCACAGTTCCAGACAGTAGAGGTATTATTTCATGTTTACACTTTCTAATGTAATCCCTTTCACCTTTTAACTCTATATTACCTGTCTTCTGATCTGAAATTGAAAATAGAATAGCAAAAAAGCTCAATATAAGCATTGTGTTAGTTGACTTGTAAACCCTCCCTATGCATGTAGTTGGAATTACCAGTATTCAAAGAAATGGGGTGCGTTACCTATGTCGAGTTTTATATGCCACTGTCCTCTCTTTGATGCAACCTCGTGAATTCGTCCCTTGATTCGAAGTGGTAAACATTTATTTTGGGGATTTTGAATAGTTTCGGTGCACAGTAATCTGTCCTCAATTCCCGAAATAATCCGAGACGCAACATTTGGTCTTGTTTTAGAAAACGTCGACACAGATATAGAGCAACCTATCACATCCCCATCGTCGCTGTCACCTTCTAGAAAAAAATATTCTATACTTATTACTGCAAATCCTTTAAAAATTTAAAGTGTATAATTTGTCGCAAGAAAAAAACCATCACATACCACCATTGGCCCCCGTGCCACCTGTCGCGCCACTATTCTGACTCAGCGCTTGTGTCATGGCGTCGTATTCTGGTGGACTATATTGAACGAAAGTTATTCCCTGAAATATGAAGAAAATAAGTTAACAGAGCACTACTTACTTCAATTGTAAGTATTTCCTTCCATCATTAGAAATTATTTCTTTACCTGGAGTCCGCCTTTAGATAGAGCTTTACAGGCGCTCTGCACCATGACGTCAGCTGTCGTCTGTATTGGATACTGCAACATCCGGCCGCAACCTAACAGTGGTAGCGATATGGAACTCATTCCACTCTGAATACACAGCTGAAAACACTCATCCACGATCTGAGGGAATTCCTTTAAAAAAGAATGGATAGCAATACAAGAAAGTCTTATTTATTATTTTCAGTATACATGTGCATTGCTGTCCCGTTTTCTGTACCTTTTGGGCGTTCACGTCTGACCAAGGATGAAGGATCAGTGTAAACACAAATTGACAATTTAAGTTTCCACCGACGGTTGTAATGATCCGGGAGCTGCCAAGCTTTGTTTTAGAATCTTTCAAAGCCTGAAAAAGAATATAAAGAGATGTGATGAAAAAATAATTACAGAGGGGTAAGCAAGGTAATCTGTCAGTCGAGCAAAATTAATTATTTTCAATGGATTCATTCATGGTTCCTTTTTGGTACCTGGTGGAATACATCAATGTATTCAGATCAGCATATTTTGGTAACATGCTCCTTATTAGTTTAAACAATGTTTAGGAGTTTGCAAATACATGTATTAGGCATGCAGCAATACTATTGTACCACGATTCAGTAACTACAAACATGTATGTCATAAGAAACAGAAAACTGGCAAATTTTGCAAAAATGAAATCTTTTTATAATATTTATAAAGTGAAAATATGGGTTCTATGTTGTAACTAATATTTTAGGAAGCTTAATTAAAAATGGTCATCCGTCCATAAAACGGAATACGAAAGACCACTCAGACATGGGAATAACTCTACCCAAAACTATACTGACTGATGAAATGTACCCTTATTGTGCGAGGGTTCCAATATATTTGATTAATTTAAATAAAGATTAATTGATTGATTGTTTATTAGTCGGCAAAATTTCAGCCATGTATCGATTTAAATTATGAAGAGCTATTTAGAGTTTGGTATTAGCTCAGGAAAACTAACAGGCTTTGATGAAAAGAAAACTTAGAATGCAAACATATTTATACCAGGTTGTAATTGGAATGCATTGGACAGTCGGGGCTACCTTAATCAGAGTGTTTCCTCCAGCCTTACAAAGAGATTTGGAAATGAGGCTCTTCTGAAAATCTAGGTCTGGTCCCACCACATTGACAATGACGTCCGCCTATTTCAGATCAAAGAACGGGTTGAGACATTCACTTTTATGTAAAGTATGATGTTTTCAAATATATCAATATTAATCATATAAAATCACCTACCGTTTCCTTGGCGATGTCACCCTGTTTGACCTTGACCTCCACGTTGTTAATGATTGTGGATGTTGACCTATAATCTGGAGTTTCTGATACCGATGCACCTCTTCCTCCGAAAAGCCGGACGGGTAAGGATTGACATCCCCTGTGTAATAAAGGATTTTCTTTTCATATAAGCAGAGGAAATTCCTCCAGTATAGGTCTATAAAATTGCTATAAGAGCTGAGCGGTTACGTACGCTTGTGGTTGACATCGACGTGACCTTGGACGTTTCGTTACTAAGCGACGTTTAGGCTTTGTCTTGTACTTGATGTGTAATTTACAGCACAGTCTTTCCTCTAACTCAGAAACTACCTCCTTTCCTTTGCTACATTTCAATAATCTGGCTAAGAGGCGAGTATCCTCCTCTGTAAAAAAAGGGAAATTCCTTAGTGAAATTATTATCAACTCGGTGTTTCTGGACTTACAACGATCTTCTGTAATGAAGAGTTAGTCCCAAAAGGTCTGAAAGCTTCACAATGAAATGGAAAACCTGAAAAGTTTTGATCACATCTTCAATATTACAATCAAAAATGTCCTGATTAACATTTACGTGGGTAACTTTTTATAATAAAGTTGTACACTGCATACCATCTCTGCAGATTTTAGTCAGGTCTAATCCTGAGTTCACGCTGCCGCCCCTGCTAGTGTTTACCCGGGATGGAGAGTTGACATGACCATTTGACATTGGTGACCTTTGACCTGAATGACCTCCTGACCTTGAACTACAGAAATCACCTTCATCCTCACTAGAAGTCGGGTCAGACATCGCCTTTTACTTAAGGTAAGTTCCTGTAATAAGAGAATCTTAATGCGTCCTCTGACTTTTTGAAATCACCCTTGTGGAGTTAAGAAAATTATTTAATACCAAAATTAAAACACAGTAGGTTGACTACACTCAAAACTTGTTTGAAAAGTTTCTAAAATGTTTTTTCTAAAATTTAGAAATGTACAATACATCCTTCCTTGTTTTCCTATATATAGTTGTACGTTGTTGGCTTCGAATTTCCCACTTCCTTAAACAAATTAGAAGTTGTAATTCCTTACCATGTGCATATTCATGATAAAATATTTCCTGTTTTCATTTTGTTTCGGAGACTTTTGTATTAATTATATGTACAAGTCTGGAACTATGAATTACACGTTTTACAGCTTGTATTATTCTGAATTCTGCTTTATAATATAGAGTTCGTTTCTGATGATATCAAGTCAGAAAAAGCACGAAAGTTGAGATAATACTAAGTCACAGGTGATTTATATATCAATTATTGTATTTTTTCCAGATAAAATAAAATGTTGAATCTTAGGCCATCTTTAAAATAATGTTTGTTTGCCAACTCCCAACTCAGGGTAAAAATTATTGGGTCGGTAGGTAGGTGAGAGAATTTTTTCCAGGAAATTTCAACATATTTGTTGACAAGATAAAAGGAATACAAAGAAATACTGTGCTCTGGAATGTAAGAAAAGGTTTGAATCAGGCCATTTTTAGTCAGTTGGTCGGGAAAGGACAACCAAACATTTTTTTTTTGATTAAGATGACCTTCTTGAAAAAATGGTCTAATAGGCTTGTTACAAGTCAACGCACTTTGAAAAATTACGCACTTTGAACAAATTTTTCAAAGTGCGTTAAAATTTGGGACCAAGCTAACGCACTTTGAAAAAAAAAATTTTCAAAGTGCATTAATATCGACCATATTAACGCACTTTGAAAAAAAAATGTAAAGATTGATCAATATTCCTTCAAATAATCGGTATGATAAAAAACAGATTCTGGTTTGATAATTTTTTCATGATAAAGTCACAGTAGGACCTGAGATATTGACGTTTTAAATATTCAAGGTTTTGATAAAATAAAAGGGAAAATTAAAGGGTCTTGAAAAAAAGAGTGACGATTGTTTAAGTTCATTAATTCGTTTCTTCTTTTTTTTAATTCTAGTCTTTGATAAGTAGATGTAAAGGTGTATAGGGGGCACTAACAGAGGACAGCTTCAAGCAACTTAGCATTTATCATAATAAAAAGGGGCCAATTTGATTGTTCAAAACTATGAAAAAATTTTTCTCTCTCATACGTTTTACTGTACTTAAAATTTTTTTGTTTTCATGTTTTAATTAACTCATTTATTATTGAAAGTTTTCAACGTCATACCAGTTAGGTAAATACATAATTATATGAATGCTTTGAGTATAGCATAGACATCGAGACTGGGCGAAGGGCCAAAATGGGGGGCTAAGCCCCTCTCTTATTTTGGAAAGATATATACATCGTATAAGCATTGAAAATGCAGCGTACCCTTTTTAGGTTTATTGCTCCCCTCCCCCGTTTGTTACCGACACCTATGTATTGGAATGATAACTCGTCTTCTCCTTATTGAAGGAGTAAATCAATTCATTTTTGAGGTTAGGGTTAGGCTTAGTTTTTTGAAAGATAAATAAGTAAAATAACAAATAAAATCTTTCCATGACTAAAATATGATTTGTTTTTTCAAAGTGCGTTAAGTGTCTCCATGGTAAAATATATTGATGTAGAATCTTAACGCACTTTGAAAAATATTTTCAAAGTGCGTTGAGTTGGTCCCAAATTTAACACACTTTGAAAAATTTTTTCAAAGTGCGTTGATATTGTCCCAATTTTAACGCACTTTGAAAAAATTTTTCAAAGTGCGTAATTTTTTCAAATTGCGTTGCCACATAGGCTGCATAACGGTACGTCACTACCAGTCATTGTCCACAATGCCTTATTAAATGTTACGTAACATAAAATCAACCTTTATGCAGAGTTTAAACTAACTATTACCATTCCTAAAATATTTACATTTCCGATTGCTTTCTCTGTAATAATATGATAATGTGAAATCTATTTTTATATGTATTTATTCGCATAGGCGGCGGAACCCGGGGGGGGGGGCCTAGGGGAGGGGGGCTTATCCCCCCCCCCACACACACACACACTTTCAATTTGCTTCCGACGCCTATGATTCGGTTTTATTTATTTTTTCATATCGTCTTGAGAAATATAATTTGATAAGTTTTATTCTATGCTTTCATTGGTTCTTTAATTTGATTGGTTATTTCTTATTTCTTCATCCAATAATGAATTTCTTCATCCAATAATGAATTTTCATTAGGCCTATATCACCCCTTTTCCCATTTCATATATCAAAATAAAGTAGAGACTTTAGTGCTTTCATTTCCTGTCAAAAAAATTCTTTTTGAGAATCCAGGTATTGGAAAACAGGCTTTGAGAAAATGCTATGTTCTTCAATTCTGCAGAATTATGCGTATTTGATTAGGCCGTTTTCAAAGGAATTTACTGAATATGGGAAAAATGCATGATGCAACTTATGACGTTATAATGCATTGACTAGAGGGAAAATAACGTCATATTTAAATAGATTCAGAGTCACCAAGAGTCCAAACATCAAACCACGGCCAAATTGTCCGATCCTCTCCCATTTGTGGGAGAGAGAGCTACAATAGATATATGCGGACTCCGGACTGTGGCTTGAGACGATGGAGTCCAAGTGATAAATACATGTACTGCATTTTCGGCCTAGATTGAGCAGTTCTGATTTTTCAGAAATTCCCAAGGCGAAAAAAGCCCTTAAATAGCTCTTGCTCTTTACCTCGCATTACCTATGTATGTCACAGCAGTAATACGTTTTCAAAATGTAGAGTTCATCATATTCATCGTATGGTATGTAACATATATTTGATTATGTGTTTCCTTACCATTTAAAGATTTGATTTACGTACTTATTTTGATTGCAAACGTTTTACTTTAATGTATTTTTGCTTTCAAAGCTGTAACTTAAATAAGGAGTCTGTAAGATTTAATTTTGATTTGTTTACAGCACACCTTTTCCCATAGAACTTATTTTTCTTAAATGTTTACTGTAGGTGAATTATTTCATAAGTATGTTATTTTAATAATTTCTGTAATTTATACAGGTTGGGACCAATCGCCCAAATGGGATATAATAGTCCGTTTGGGATATAATATCCCAAATGGGCTATAAATTTTCAGTGCAAAAAAATGAAAAAAAATTATTTTGGCTATAAATATCATAAATCCGCGTCAAAACACTTAAAACGGAATAACTTTTGGTTGACAAGTTTTCCTGTGTGCCCATTGTTTAGGAGATTGATCCCTCCGAAGTTCCTTAACTTCTTGGGGATCAATCTTAATACAAACTCTAGGGTTGCAGAAAAACTTGCGTACCAAAATGTATTCCTTTTTAGGTATTTTGATGCGGATTTATGATAATTATTGCCAAAATAAAAATTTTCAATTTTTGCAGTGTAAATTTATAGCCCATTTGGGATATTATATCCCAAACGGACTATTATATCTCACTTGGGCGATTGGTCCCAACCTGTTATATACTTTGTTATTTTAGATCAGTGCCTTATTTCCTTAATAAGTAAATGATGAAAACATACTCAGTAACAGCTTTCATGCTCGGTTACAATAACCCAACGGAAAGTAAGAAGAAATGATATAAGGAATCTTCAGATAGAGAGAGAGTCTGATCGAAAATGGTGGAACCATACAGCTTTAAAGCGTCGTCGTTATTTATCTTACTTAAAAAAAATTCCCTATACTTTGGGCCCCAAAGAAACATTTACCCATTCAAATATCAAACTTGGCTGTAATACAATAGAATGTAGCCCATTTAAATATCCAACTGAACGTCACACAAAACAATAGCCTAATCGAACACCCCTTTTATTTATGGACTAGTGAGCATGAAACTATACATGGTGCTGCTGTCATTTCAACCCTTTTCATTGTACTGAATAGTCTTGAAATCAGACGAAAAATATTTTTTATACAAAGTAAATTAGAGAAGTTCAGACGGTTTTTTGAATACCTTTGAACGAAAGCTGAAGAAAAATACGGAATTTTTTATAAAAGGTTGGGAATTTGTCATTACTTATTATTAGTATAAGATGATGGTTTGTTGAGGAAAAGTGTTGGATTCTGAAGGAGTTCCATTCGGACATTCTTGTAGTAGTGCTTAAAAACCATAAGTGGGGAATGAATGTTACTAGACTAGTGTGTAAATCAGAATGACTTGTCATGAAGGATTTTTTTATGAAGGGCTTTATATATAGTGGTGTAACTTACACATGTTTCGTATTTTTTCCATCGAATGTATACTTTATTTATTGGATTTTCTATATATTTATGTTCCCCAAACGAAGTTGGGGAACATATTGTTTTTACTCTGTTTCTTATTATTATTATTATTATTATTATTATTATTTTTCTTCTTCTTCCTGGAACTTTTTTGTCCGGGAATGATCTTGTAAACTCTTCGTCCGATGTAGGTAAAACCTTTTTAGGGTTAGTAGACATGTTATGTAGATTTGCGGAATCAAGGTCATTTTGCGCGCACGTGCTTGCAAGAGCGTGCACGTGCAACACGTGAAATGACTAATATAATAGATATAGCCACAACTTTTCTTTTTTTAGATGAAATGCTTTGAAACTTATAATGTAAGGATATATTAGTAGTATAGACATGACGACATGGTGAAAATAGCAAGATCTCACGCGCATGCACGTGCACTTCGCTCTGATTGGCTGCAACTAAAGTCTCAATATCTTTCTTGTTTTTTGACGAAATCCTTTGAAATTTTGAACATAGCCATGCATTAGGATATCCTACAAAATGAAATAAAGCAATTATCATGAAAACACGTGCATGCACGTGCGCTGCAATCTGATTGGCTGAAACTTTAAACAGCTATAACTCCCTTAGTTTTCAACCAAACAGGATGGGATTTGGAATATAGATAGATATAATAGACTTCTACAAGTAGGTATGGTCACCATGCACATTCATACACGTGTGTGTATATGTACTGCAATCTGATTGGCTGAAACTTTAAACAGCTATAACTCCCTTAGTTTTCACCCAAACGTGGTAGAATTTAGAACATAGATAGATGTAATGGACTTCTACAAGATGGTATGGTCACCATGCTCATGTATGCACGTGCGTGCACGTGAAATGAGTAAAATCAAACATACACTTGAATGAGCGTATTTTTAAAATAATTTTGGATTAAATACTTTAATTTTCAGTGTATTAAAAATATAGATTGTGTAGACAAGATGATATGGTCATGACGCAAATGCATTCACATGTGCACGCGTGCAATGCTAAAGTTTAAATGTTTTTTGCACACTTCTTTATAAATGTTGTTAAAAATCTCAGATGCATAGAGTTTGTCTTATTTAATGAAGCTTACAGGGAATATGGCACCAAAAAAGAGTTTGGAAGCGTTTGGGGAACATCTGTAACGGTCCCCGTTACAATTAGCACTAGTTCCTGCATTGTGTTTGATTCGGTATAATAAAAAAATCACTGCATGAATGTTCCGGAGACATGAAGATTTCTTCGCCCATGAAAAATCATATTCCCTCGGGCGTTGCCATCAGGGAATATCATTTTTCATGGGCGAAGAAATCATCATGTCTCCCGAACATTCATGCAATAATTGTATAGTGTCGAGTTGAAGGCCATTACAAGTGGGTTTTTTCTTCTTCTAAAATCAGCCTTCATACAGTGTTAAAAACAAAAAAATTACCATTTGGAGTGTTATACTTAGTACAGTTGTAGTACTTGAGTAGCTTTTAAGAAGTTTATTATCATCAGTTTGTTTTGAACGAATTATATGCACATTTTTTAAAGAAATGCATCGCTCCTTGAAAATGACACGAACAAAAGTTGTTATGAATTTTTGCACCTTTTTTAATTATTGCATTCACGATTGAAATTTTCTGCCTTTACTTAGGTTTCTGGTCTCTCGATATTGATATCTTCACTTTGAAGTTTCCACTAACCTAAATTGTAATCCAGTCGAAATTAATGCAAGTTAAACTACAAAGAGCAGAACTTAACCTCGAGCAAATCTTCGCAGCCTTTATTCCATCCTCCCCCTCTCCTTGCAGGTAAGATGTAATTTTATTTCTGTTCATAAAAACAAAATACACTGTATAAAACATTTTTTTGATTGTTTAGAAGACTCGTATCATCGAAATATAACATACATACTTTATATAACATGCATACCTTGGATGAGATGCAATGATTTAATGATACATGTAGTTTATTATAAGTAATACATACAGTTCATCGTAAGATAAAATAATCCTCACAGTACACAGCATTATAAGAGGGTTAACTCAAACTGAATGAAAGTACATGTTTATATGAAATCGGCCACAGAAATGATACGTCAGGAAGAAGGAAAATGTTATTAGTGATATCATAGCATAATTTTTAATTGAAAAGTTTTCAACCTTTAATGGAAAATATTTGCTGTAAACTATGACTATCAGTAAAATTGAAAAGATTTCGTACAGACTTGCAATGCATATACATGTAGTATGAATACATTCTTCGTACAAGATCTACAATGAACTGAATGAAAGTTCTCACAAACAGATCTCCTTACACACCCCTTACATGTGCATTGATAAAGATAAATATAACAGGATGTTTGTGAAATAATATGCACCCGGCAGCAACAAAATTCGAAAAAGCTATTCAGCATAAAGTTCACAGTCAAGGTCACAAGGTAATTGGCCTTGATGTCATCTGAAAGAACTTTTAAATTTGTGGAGTATGCATAACAAATATGAAGCCTCCATTTTTCATTGTTGAAAAGTTACTGCGAAGGTTAAAACTGACAACAGACAGATAAACAGACAGACAGGACAAAAACAATAAGCATCCCGATCTTTCGACTTGGGTGCATAAAAATTCCATAAATAACATATTCAAAAAAGTTATGATACTTAAAAATATTTTCATCTGTTATCTTTTGTATACAGTTTAAACGTCAATTTGGGATGTGTACAAAAATATTTTAAAGCCGTTAAGTCCGATTCTAATCGCTAATTGTTAGGTCACACAAAAATAATCCTACGACGATATCGCTATTTGCAATGACGTGAAAATTAAATTTATCGCATATATCTCATTATGTGAAGAACAAACCCGAACTTTTTTTCACAACAAAGTACTTATACCTGTACACGGACAATAATTTACTTTTTAGCCTTCGTTAATAAATTTCCTTAAAAAAAATCTTTAAAAATATCTGATTTTCCTTTATTCTTTTAAATGTGCATATTATTATAAAAGTACTATGGATGATATTCAATTATGAAGCCTCTCTCTTTTATAATTCAAAAGTTATTGCAAAAGTTCGAAAAAGCTACTTTCATCATATAGGTCACAGTCAAGGTCACAAGGTCATTTACCTTGGTGTCATTTGAAAGAAGTTTATTAGTGGAGTAAGTATACATGTATCAAATGTGTATCAAATATGAAGTCTCTATCTTTCATTGTTCAAAAGTTACTGCGAAGGTTAAAATTGACAACAGACAGACAGTACAAAAACAGTAAGCATCCCGATCTTTCAACCTGGGTGCATAAAAATTCTATAAATAACATATTCAAAAAAGTTAGACTACTTAAAAATGTTTTCATCGATCTGATATCTTTTGTATACATTTTAAACGTCAATTTGGGATGTGTAAAAATATTTTAAGCATCTTTAATTCTACATGACAAAATGTTTTTGGACTTATACAAAAAAAATGAAGCCTGAAAAACATCAATTAAGAACATACTACTAAGTAGTTCCCAATTTCAAGGTTTCCAAGACAAATTTGATTATCATATCAAACTTTAAATATTTCTGTTGACTCCGAGCTATCGAGAGTTAAACTCTGTGTTTTCTAGATACAGTAACACTAATTTGATCATTTGTATCTGTTAAACTCTGTCATATGTGATGATATACTCCGGGTAGCACTGATTTGGTTCATAAACAACGAATTCTCGGAAGAGCCACCTCCCCTCTACAATGATCGAGTCGTAATTACAGTGTTCCCCAATCACGCAGGTGGTGGTCTTACAGGTACTGCAGGGAGGGTGTTTATAGGACTGTTCCTGTCCGGATACAAACGGATTACCGATCAACAGACGGACCAGCAGCATCTGTAGACCCTTCTGTTGACGATGGGATTTGTCATCTGAAACAAGCAATACAAGTCATGAAGCTCTAAACTTGTGAGTGGATGATAAAGTTTAGCATCCTTTGTTCACTTGGCCATGTTGACATTTAAATAAAGGAAAAATAATCATTTGTGGGAATTAAAGTTATCCATTTCATCACAGGGCCAGTAAACCTTAAGAATATTTTCTTTTAAATACTAATTTTTTAATAGCTTTAAAATGTAACTTTTAAATGTTTAACAACTTGATGTCGTGATAAAGATTCAGATGAAGTTAACTTAGGACCAGATACAATTTCTAGATATAACAATAAAAGTTCAGATTACATACCTGTGTACTGGTCAGCTTTTGTAGAACTTTCACCACAGTAAATGCCCTGACCAAATAACAACCTATCGGAAGATTTTCTCGGGTCTATGCCCTTTTTGGTAATATTCTCAATGAAAGACGACTTGGTACCATGAAATACATAATGTTCATTTATATCTAAATATAAACTAGTGTTTAGAAGTTTTGGCATTTTTAATGTTGTTAAAATGCCACCTTTTTGAGTTACTGTTTCAATTCTGGGATAACTGTTTAAACCACTTCTTAACATTTGCCGAATGATCCGTTCTCTTTGTTGTGAGTAATGTGAAAACAGTTCTATGCTTTCAACCCTTTCGATTTTGGTCACTTTGATGCCTTGATGACCCAAACCCTTAGCGTCAGCACCGTGTCCGACGTGTGCCTGATCCCACGTCTGTTCTACCATTTCACTTATAGCTTTAAAGGTATCGCTGTCGACCATATTAACCCGGCAAAAGTCCTTCTTCTGTTTCAAATAATATTTGATATCATAGCCCCCTCTGAACTCTTTCCAGTACAGGGGCGTCTTCTGATGTTCCAGCACCTCTCTCCAGTAGCCTTCAGTGCCCTTCTTGGACCGCGGCCCCATCCACCGCTTTGGTCTCGATTGGCTGGTTGTCTCTACTGGCTCTGCTGAGAAGCTGTCCAATAACAAAGCCCTGGTTTTATTGGCTAAGGCCTGGACATCATCTCGGTGTCCCATGATAACGTATTTATCTGGAAAACAGATATGAGACTGCACATACCAGGTAAAGTCTTAGATTCATGTGTAATTTAAAAAAAAACTCAATTAATTGATAAAAGCAATGCATTTAGACATGAACATGATGAAACGATATACTTTTAAAAGACACGATATCATATGCATGTCTTCAGAATGTATTTAATTTAATGTAATACGCCAAAATAATTTAATGAAGACTAATTACCCGAATCTATTTTCAGTATGACATCCATTGTTCTCACTGCCTCAAAAATATCTTGTTTGTCCTCCCGAGTTATTTTATCTATTAAGCCTTTATTTTGTATAATTTCTTTAGAGAGAAATAGACGTTCCACTTCTTCATTGATTTTCTTTCGCAAGTCTTTCAATCCCTGTGAGTTTTCCCCAGAAAGGAGAAGGTCTGGCAAGAATAGACTAACATGTTTCACACTTTCATCTTCTTTTCCTTCCTGCAGTGAGGTCGGTGATCCTCTCCTGCCTATAACGTACAAAGAAGACTATAGTTTTGAATGAATATGGAAAAAAATGACAACAATCTGATATTAAACCAACGGACAGACATACGGAACATATGAGGAAGAAGCGTGCCTAGCCTCTGAAGTTTCGATTTTTTCGACACAATCCTATGAAAACGCTCAAGTTCCTCATCAAACTCTTGTCTTTCGCCTGAGTCATAAATTACAAAGACAATTTTCTGGAAAAAAGCAACAAAAAGCGTTATATGTTTGTGCTTTTCTGTTATGAAAGAAATAAATGACTTTTATCAAATCAGATACCTTGAGTCTTGTTCTGCCTTTAGACCAAGTAACACATTCTTCCACCATGATTTTCGCCACCATATTATCCGGAAACTTGAGTAGTTTTCCGGTTCCAACCGCAGGGAAGGCTATACTATCCAACTGATTATCCTCACAGTGAGAGAGACACTTCTTAATTACTTCCCTTAAACTCTGGAAAGTGACATTTATTACATACAATCACCAACAATTTAAATAACCTACTAGAAACTACTATAAGGACCATTTGAGATGTCTCAGAGACATCATTTTGCAACCTTCATGTTCATGACGTACCTGTTCGTGAAATCAATCTACAATCTACCTCTCATTGAAATCATTCTGAAACCTACCTGTTCACGGAATCACATCATTCAGCAACCTACATGTTCCGCAACCTACGTGTTCATGTCATCATTTTGTAACCTACATTTTCATTGACATCATTCTACAACCTACATGGTTATGAATCATTCTGTTATCTGCCTAATCATGACTACATTCTACAACCTATCTGTTCATAACATCATTCTGCAACCTACTTGTTCATGACATCATTCCGCAACCTACCTGTTCATGACTACATTCTACAACCTATCTGTTTAAGACATCATTCTACAACCTACCTGTTCATGATATATTCTACAACCTACTAGTACCTGTTCATGACATCAATCTACAACTTACCTGTTCATGAAATCATTCTACAACCTACCTGTTCATGATATATTCTACAACCTACTAGTACCTGTTCATGACATCATTCTACAACTTACCTGTTCATGAAATCAATCTACAACCTACCTGTTCATGATATATTCTACAACCTACTAGTACCTGTTCATGACATCATTCTACAACTTACCTGTTCATGAAATCATTCTACAACCTACCTGTTCATGAAATCATTCTACAACCTACCTGTTCATGACATCATTCTACAACCTACCTGTTTATGACATCATTCTACAACCTACCTGTTCATGAAATCATTCTACAACCTACCTATTCATGACTACATTCTACAACCTATCTAATCATGGCATCATTCTACAACCTATCTAATCATGGCATCATTCTGCGGCCTTGTTCATGACATTCTACAACCTACCTGTTCATGACATAATTCTACAACCTACCTGTTCATGAATCATATTGTAATCTACCTGTTCAGGACTACATTCTACAACCTACTTGTTCAAGACATTCTACAACCTACCTGTTCATGACATCATTCTACAACCTACCTGTTCATGACTACATTCTACAACCTACTTGTCCAAGACATTCTACAACCTACCTGTTCATGACTACATTCTACAACCTACTTGTCCAAGACATTCTACAACCTACCTGTTCATGACATCATTCTACAACCTATCTGTTCATGACATCATTCCAGAACCTACCTGTTCATGACACCATTCTGCAACCTACCTAATCATTTCATCATTCTGCAACCTATCTGTTTATGATATATTCTACAACCTACCTGTTCATGACATCATTCTACAACCTACCTGTTCATCAAAAGGCTTTTGATTCAGTGGAATGGAATTTTTTTAATTAATACTCTCATAAATATAACTTCGGATGACATCATTCTACAACCTACCTGTTCTTGACATCATTCTACAACCTACCTGTTCATGACATCATTCTACAACCTACCTGTTCATGATATATTCTACAACCTACCTGTTCATGACATCATTCTACAACCTACCTGTTCATGACATCATTCTACAACCTACCTGTTCTTGACATCATTCTACAACCTACCTGTTCATGACATCATTCTACAACCTACCTGTTCATGACATCATTCTACAACCTACCTGTTCTTGACATCATTCTACAACCTACCTGTTCATGGCTTTTGCTGTTTTCTCTATTCCAGTCCTCCAGTACTATGTTACAGACAAACTTACAGAGGTGTGTCAGTTGCCCAGAGCTCTTTGTCAGAACAACGTTTTCTATTTCATCATATTCTTCTTCAAAATCCTTTAATGGAGACGAAAACACGACTACACTTTAAATCCTTAAACTTAAGCCATTTCAATATATCTGTGGTAAACGCCAACTTTTTCCGGTATACTTTTTCAGTTTTTGCATATTTTTGTCATTAATTAGATAACCCAATCAAGTATTTATAAAGAGTACTAGTATTAAAAATTCTATGAATTTTTAGCATTTACATGTAGAATCAGTCTACCTTTTTTAATTGTCGAGAGGCCAAAGAGAACAAACGTGGTAACATTCCGTATCTCCACATGGAGGATTTACGAAGAACATTGACCAGAACTGAAGCCTACAGAAATTAATATTCTAATAATAAAGTCTAAAATCGAGCATGGGGAAAATTCATTACAGAGAAATCAAATAAGAGAATCCTTTTCATTTAAATAAAAGCGTTATCTTCTATTCTTTCAGCATGAGACAGTGTACTACAATTACAGTCCTACCATTTTTATATCAATACCAAGATACCCATCAGTCATTAAAAAAACGTGTTTTCTACGATAAACAGAGTATAGAATTGACCTTTCTCCTTGTCAGACCTATAACAGTATTAAATATTAAAAAAAAAACAAAAAAAACAAAAACAAAAACAAAAAAAAAACAATCTACCTGTTCATGATAGCATTCTACAACTGTTCTGTTCATGCAACCATTCATGACATAATTCGAGCTCCTAACTTTACCTTCTCCTTGACCACGCTGCCGTCCTTGACCTGGAGTTCTGTGGCGCCCACTGTCAGACTCTTCTCCTCCAACAAATTAGATAACGACTTCGATCTGGCAACAGGTGACGGACTGAAATAATATCAACAAACTCTTATTTCTTTCAGCTAATTTATAATATTCAGTATCAGATCGTCCCCCGCGTGGCGCAATGGTTCGAATCCCACTATGGGACGTGGAGACCGGTCCTTCGGAACCGAGGTCCCGTGTCGCAGTAGATGCTGCCACGAAAAAGATCCCTCCCTGCTCAGTGACCCCGAGTGCCGAGTATCAATAGGACAAATTTTGAATCTCTCCATCGGCAAGTGGTGGCATCTCCATATAAGTGAAAAAATTCTCGAAAGGGACATTAAACAATATATACGAGGTACAATCAATCAATCAATATCAGGTCATCTTTTAATTATACAAATACGTGCAGGTGTGAATTAGAGTGTTCTGTTATATTTTTTAAGGATGTAAACAGGAATATTACCCGGTAGAATTGTCTTCGATGTATCTGACTTCCACCTTTTTTTCGCTGTCGACGATATCAATGAAGGTAGCATATTTCTCCTCCAGGTTTCTTATCTCACGTTTTCCCTTCTTTGAATTTAAGCATCTTGTGATTATGCCTTGATCTGTGACGCATGCAAATGTTAAAAATAAGATAATTCTTTGAATAGTTAAACACATAGGTACGTACAAAATAATTTTTACTTTCAGACTTTCCAATTTATCAAAGAAGATTAACTTTCCATTTTAAGTTATCTCTGTGTGTTTACATATCAAAAATCCTTATTACAAGTATCTTGATTTTCAAAGGAAAATTTGAATATGTTTAACCTTTATGTCTCAAGTAAACGTCATCAAATAAGAAATTTACTATATTTTAAACAATAAATTGTCTGCATAGTCTCCGACTTTAACAGAACACTGTTTGCAATTATTTTATTATCATCAAAGACGACGAAAGTTGGGGTTTGTTTGTTTTTTGTTTTATATTTATGTAATCGATGAATTAAAATAAAATTGTTATTTATTTAAAAAAATAAAGCATAGGATTTTACCATTCTTGTTAAAGTCGGCGAAGGTCAATTTGATATCCTTGATTTTCTCTGTTATTGTCTGTATCCGGGTTCTCAGAGTGTGGTCATCCGTGAACTTGATCGTCAATGTGTCCTCACAGTCAGAATGGGTTTCCGTTATATCTACCGTTTCCGGGTTCTGTCTGGGATAAAGTATTTCACATACACGTGATAAGTCTTAAAATGTGTACATAGTGCAAATCTTGTTCCGTATTATGTGAGAAGGTAAGCAAGAACTCAAGCAATTCTATATAATCTGAGGGTCATTCTGTGAAAGGTAGGAATAGTTACAGTGATAAATAACAATAGCTTACTTCACTTCTTCTTTCAATCGTGTCAGCTCTTCCTTCAGACTGGAAGTCTTGCACATTAATCTGGCCTTGGCGCCACTCAGTATTATGGTACGTATGGGTTTGTGGGCGTTGAGCACGCCTCTCAGTTTGTCGGCGGCTTTCTGGACATCCTCTGTAAGTCCCTCTACCTCCACGACTGACTCAGTGTGGACGATCTCAATCACGACCATCAGGGATTTCTGGAGGGCCTGTGTCTCCACATCCCATGTTTCTGACGTGAATAGTTCTACATTGTGGGGAGCGAAAGGTACATTCAGTTTTCTGAAACAGTCCAGGGTATTTTGCAGAGCTTCTTTTGCATCTTTCTCCGAAAAGGCTAAACAGTGTACAGCTGGATCGGTGAGATTTTGGTTTTCTATGAATACACGGAAAATTTGACTGGCTGTTTGGCCTCTTTGCCTAAGTTTCTCCATACAACCCTCCTGCTTAAGTACATGAAGTCTGTTCGCACTCACTGGCTCAGACAAAGTGCATACATTGTTAAGACGTTGTAGATACTCTAGGTTGTGTTCCAGCACTAGCTCTTTTGGACCTCGAAGCACTATTGAACATGTCTCTTCACGGAAGCTCACTGATAAGTTAGAAACATTTGATTCAATGGATGCCATTTTCATTAAAAGACAGTGATGTTTTGTTTTGCATTTAATGGTTTTCTCTATTGTGTTGTCATGTTGTGCTGCTGAGGTGTTGCCTTGTTGTCTTGTTGTGCTGACGACGACTTCCTCGTACAAGTGTTCCTCGTCGTTAATCTCGTCACCCCTGTCTTCTGTCCTTTGTACGACTTCGATTTCCTCACTCTCGCTCTCATTGTCGCTATCACTCTCTATGATTTTAATATTTCCTTGGCCAGCTGCCATCTTATCAAATCGAAAGTACAAACCAAAAAGTCCAATCACTACACGAATATTGTCATCATTTTTTTCCCTTTTCTTTATATAAAAGAAAACATCCTTATAAATAACAATGCAATTCCTATCCAAGAAAAACTTCACTCAGGAAAATAGGGATAATATAATAAATATTTTTCCTCGTATCTAAATTCGTTATCAACACAAATAATTGTTATCTCTTGTCCATACCTTTTGCTTCTGAAATACCTGTATTCATAACGTAGTAATACTTTCGGTTTGAAAGCTCATTTCTTAAAATCGCTTACTTTCGATTTAATTTTTAGTGGCTATTTAAATGTAATGCGCGTTGTGGTTAATCTAATATTACACCCTGCTATGTGCACGATAGCAATTCCTTTATCCTTTATTAGATTCGTTTTTTTTTTACCCCCCCCCCCCCCCAAATTAATTACTGCTGCAGGAATTTTGGAATAGTTGCCATAGTTACTCTTATACAGGTTAGTTTGGTGATTTGAAAAACATCACAGGCAACGTATTTCTTTTATACATATTGCAGTTATCGAACCTTACATGTGGAAAACGATTAAAGAAAAAAAATTAAACAGTGGAGAAAAGGACATGAAAAGAGTCAAGGATATATTAGTAGTATTCATACTATTCCTATAAATATGTAAAAGTAGACATCATCTATTATTTTTATAGATTCGTGATATAATGAAATTATGAGTTGAATAAATCGGAAGGGTAGGATGTCCGTCCGTCCGTTACGCTTTGAGGTACCCGGCCATCTCTTATCTGCAATTCCTCTTACAGGCCTACCACTGATTGTAATTAAATGAAACTTTGCCATTATAACCATATGGGAGGCGGGGGTTTCATTGAGTGAAGTCAATGCCCATATAGTACCTCTAGTTATACATGTACCTGCGCTTGAAAAGCGTGAGGGTAATTAGTGATCGGGATGCCCGTCCGTCTGTTACGCTCTGGGGTACCCATCTCTTATCCGCAACTCTTCTTTTACCACTGAATGTTTAATGATACTTTCAGGGTTTTTTTTTATCACAAAATGCCATTGTGCACCTCCTATATATTTTACCTTTTGATCTGTCACTTATTTCGAGTTTCCCAGTGGAAAACATGGACTTTGCCTTTATAACCTTATGGGAGGCGAGGTGGGGGTGGGGTATCGTTTCGTGAGCCTATTGCTCACAGTACCTCTAGTGTTGTTTTCATGTGCAGTTATGGATTGAAAAGTTTTGATACAGCGTACTATGTCATATGATCTCTTTTGGATACAATTTTCAATGGAATAGTCCTCAGTGTTGTTATTTACTTTTTAAGGAAATATATATAGAAAGAAAAGTGTTCTGTCATCTTTCGTCAAGTGTAGAATATGATCAAAATAAGATGACTACATCTATAATATTGTAATCAATCTGTATTAATATCTGTAAATTTAGAGACTGAAGTTTTATTTATGTTGTGTGTAAAAAAATTAATTTGTAGATTGGTTTCAGGATAAACGAAAAGACCCTGATTCTATATCGGTGGGAGGGGGGGGGGTCCGGTCTTTCAGCTCCATATGGTTGAGGACTCTGAATTTCATCAGTTCCGCCTGCATACTATCATCTTGTATGATAACATGCTAATGAGAAATTCATGAATTGATTCAAGATATGGTCTGTCCAAGCATAGAGTATTTAGAGATAAAAACACACCTTGGAATTTAGTGATAAACATTGAATCTATGGGTGTGTCGCACAGGATATGCTTTGATCGTGTACAGTAGTAATGGAGAGCGGATCTCAAGGCCACGATTTATAACAGAATGTGCTGGGTGTAATGGTTGATGAGTCCGCGACAAAAGGCGCCGTCGACCGTAACACCCAAGACATTTAAATATGTAAGTTAGCCCGTTGTCCACCCTCGACAGAATATTGTAAAGGTACGATAGAGCAGTGACGAGGTGTGATTTCTGTGTAAGAAAGTATAGCGATAGAAAGGTGGACTCTCTAGAAATGTTAATTAATTCATGGAGAAATATTGATCGATGCTAACCAATATCTGAGTACATGACGATGCACAGGTAGGTGGAATTTCTCAATAACTATCTATTTCTCCATTTAAATTTTTTTTTCTCAAGATTCTAACTTCGGACTAGGGCCTACTTTGAATAAGGAAGCACAAGTGTCGTTAGACTAATGAACCGTGTAATAAATTGGGGTAAGTTTGGTGAAGATTCTATCATCAACTGAGTAAAGTAGAAGCTGGATACCTATTTGGATTGTAGTATTGACTACATCAGTATATGGTAAACACTGGTAAATATAGCTCTGCTTTTTCTGTAAAAGACTGAGTCTGAGAAATATAATGAATTGAAACTCTATAATAGCAAGCTTGGAGCATTTAAGTTTTAGAATATATGTATATATAGAGCCCATGTAAACAGTACGGGGAAGTTGTACACATGAATTTAATCCGCTTTTGTCGTCCTTCGTGTCCCCCAGACGTTTAAATGGATTATAAGTGCCATCATTTTATAAGAATTTACAGTGTCCAATTCACGATAACATTTAGAAATTTAAATAAATTAGTTTGGGTTCCCCATAGTTCCTGTTGCACGGTGTATTATGCAATACTTTTTCATTATTTAGATAAATTTATAAGCAACCTGTTTTCCTCCTTCACCTGTTAACTTCAGTCTCCCGTTTTCAGAGAAAACTTGTCAAAAGATTATGTAATGTTCAACATAGTTTATTTCATATTGTTCGTCATATATGTTCGTTGTTAATATGATTACATTCAGAGCGGCCATACACAAGACTAGTAATTTGAATGTTATTAGAAAGTGTAACAAATGTAATAAGCTATGACATAACACGATATAAATACCTGAGGTTATACAACTTTTTCTAAGCATTGCAGTTTATTGATTGTGATATATGATACTGTGTTGAGGCCATAAAATCATTCCAACTACATGTACATGAATGACTTAATAGAAATTGAAAACCGGTCACCCGTAGAGCGACACATTAACTAAACTTTACACGTCAAACTTATGTCGAGGCATGGATTTATACAATCATCTAACACGTTTCCAATCTACACCATATTAATTCTATTATTGCTGATCTCTTTATGTTTCGAAGTTACTGCTATAACGAAATACGGTAAAAATATTTCAAAACATTTGTAAACGATTAAGAGGTTGCTTTATTTTTCTTTAGAGACAGGAACAGATATATAGGCCTATAGTTTACGAATTCACCTTCTCTGATAAATAAATGTAAGTGGTATTTCAATGTATTTTAAAATCATTAATTATACTTTATTTGTTATTGTAGGTATCTACAGAATCTTGATGAGAAAGGTAAATCACTCCTACTCTTCTGTTTAAACTTTCTTCAATATTTAAATATGATTTATACAAGAACCTTAAAAATCTTGTACTTCATTTGTGTGATAGTGTAATTAATTGGAGTTGTAACGGGGAGAAGTCTTCCTTTGAATAACTTTTTTTTCTTTTATCAAATTTTATTATGTGGCCTTAATTTGTGTTTGATATGGAAAAGGGACCAACTTATAACAAACAAACAAACAAAAAAAAAAAAAAAAAAACAAAAAAAAAAAAAAAAACGATATTTTCTTTTGATTCTTCTGTTAACTTTTTTATTTAAAAGCATATTTTCAAAACTGCTTAGCCTGCGTAGAAATATTTCAATGGAATGATTGAATAATCGATGCGATCTTTAAATATTTTTTTGTACGATTTGTAATGAAATCTGAAGAATTTTAAGGTTACCTGTACATGTTTATGAGTTACTCAGGTGACATCGCTATCCCGTATCCTCTGTTTTGGGGTATTTTTTGTATATTTCGATCTCTGGATATTCAGCAAGTGAATAATACATGAACACAGAAAGACATGGAACTGTAATAAAACTATGAGAATTGCATTTCCGTTGTTTGGTCCTAGAGTGCAGGGGCTGTCATGTACATATGTCTTTATATTCTAAAACTCTATATACTGTCGATTATAGAGAACAGGTTTCACATTCTGTGATAATAAACACAGAGTCTTCGCCAAAGACTATAGAATTTTTGTTTCGTGATTCCAGAGTCTTGGTCAAATAGTACAATTCCTGTAACTGATTCCAGAGTTCTGTAACTGATTCCAGAGTTTCTTGGTGAGACCGAGTTACTCAGGGAATTAAAAACTTGATCCACCCATGTAAAGATAAATGTTATATGAAGCTTTGTAAATGTTGTATCACTATTCATATTTTTTGTAAAGGGGGGGGGAGACTTTCTAAGTTTTGGAAGCTTTTCCAATCGCTCTGACATATCAATACAGGACCATAGGAAGTAATTTCATTTCGGGGGCACCACCGATACCCAAAACTAATTGACAAGGTCATCAGACTTTTTTATTGAGAGTGGACGAGCATTTAGTACACGGATCTATCCTTTCTATAGTAAAGATGTACTGTTTACGGCAGAAATATTGGGGGCACGTCCCCCATGCCCCTTCCGTTCCTACGGCCAATAAAAGGTATATGTTCAAAACTATTACAAAGAAAAAGTTAAGATAACGAACAAATAGTGATTGATCTCTTTACATAATACAAACCCGTGAGGTGGCCATAAAACAGGGACCTCTGAAAATTACGGAGGTGGGATCAGGTGCGTAAGAAGAGGAAGTATCCTCTGTAGTCTAAATCTCCACGGTAAAATACGTTTATTCATTTTTATGAACACATTGTTAAACACACTTCATTGATTTATTTGCAACTGATGTTCATCGTTAGTTAAATATCTGTAAGATGTAGGACTGCATATACCTTTTATATACCTGTATAACCGATCGGTTCCCTTATTCAGTGACAATGTATCTGTTGTTTCTTTATCGTAGAGGTTACTTAAATGTTACATGTATCTAAACACAGTATCACCCTTTATCTAACAACTCTTTTTCTTTTACACAAGATTCATTTAGCACTGTGTGTATCGGGTTCGTCAGAGCCTTACCTAAGGCATATGGATGTGTGACGTCATCAATTATATACCTGATTTATTAAGAAAGGTGTGGCTATTTACAATGTGCGATTTGTTTGCGTTAGGTGACGGTCATGCACAGAAGGAACACCCTATTATATAACTTGGAATGTTGTTCACCATTTCGTTTGATTTTACATATAAAACAAAGACTGACTGAGAATTGAGAAGCTAGCAGGCTCTTTTTACCATTTTCAGATGAAGTCCTGTAGAGTTCTGACGTTCTTAGTGATTGTCCTGTCTTGAAGATAGTGTCCAACACGAAAGAATGAAACCAAAGAAGCTATACATATCACGGTACATCGAAAGTACATTTGCCGCTTTTGTTATTGGAGCATGCGTGTTTACCGTTATAACGACAATATCAACATCCTCCAAACGCAAGGCATCACACGCGAACAGAAGTCCGAATGCATTAAGACAAGAGCGAGAGTCATTTTTGTTCTCTTTATTGCGGGGAAGTAAGAGCGCTAAACAAGAAGATATGAAAGAACAACCACAATTAATTGATAGTTACCCTGACCATACGAGAGAATGGTTTAACAGGACTACTGCCAAAAAATTCATCCCCGTAGGACCACATCCTAATCTCACTACACCCATCATATCTAATACTCATATATGTAACTCATCGGAGGTAGATATCTTGATTTATTTTCATAGTTTATGGAGTCATTTCGAGCACCGTAGAATACTTCGCGAGTCCTGGGCCAATAAGAACGTGTTCTCAGACATCAAAGTGAGAACAATTTTCATTCTTGGAAAACCACCGACCAAGGAGGAGCAGTTAATGATAGTGAACGAGAATTTGAATACTCGGGATATCGTACAGGGTAACTTTGAAGATACTCACGGAAATTTAACACTTAAAAG